TTGAATCAAGAAACAGGAAGGTTGGTATGAGATGTGCCCGTACAAGCTATTTACTTTATAAGACTGCTAGGCCGTATAGTGAGTACGAACAGCTTGTTACTTTAGAAAGTCACAATGGCTGTGATATGGGTAACATCAACCATTCACGTAAGTTCCCTGCTCAAATTTTGCCATTCATCGCAGATGAGACGAAGGCACGTGTTAAAAAATTCTTATGTACACCTCTTGTACAGACTGGTTTTCTTCCTCCTGTTAAAGTTATTGCTGACAAGGATACAAAGAAGCATCGTACAAGACAGGTAGTTCTTTTGGTTACGATTGTACCTGATGCCGCAGAGTTGATACAGTACATCTATCTTGACCATCCGATTGTAAACAAACACACTGGAAAGGACGTTGCTGCATCAATAACAAATGTTCTTCAAAACTATATTGTTGCTGGACAGTTTGAAGGTGGTGGATTTGATGGTCAGTATTTTCATCTTGGCGTTCCAAAATATGTCAACGCACATTATGAGATTGACTATTCAGATACGTACTATGACTGGGACGTTCTTCATTGCTGTGGCCTTGTTGACACTCGTCTTCGAAAACTTGAGCAGTTCCAGTGGCTTTCCAACATCACCAACACTGTTTCCTCTATTTTCAAATTGTTCAACTGGGGGAAAGGTTACGAGGAGCTAGTTGAAGCATGTGATCGTTTGAAATTAGCTATACAGAATCCACAGTTCTTTTGTGAAACGAGGTTTGCCAATTCTGTACGGAAAGTCTATGGAAACTTTTTGGCTGATCTATCAGCCATCATTGCCTGCCTGGAGAATACGAAATTTGAGATGCATGACGGTGATGCGAGCGAAAGAGAGAAGGCCCAGCAAGCGGAGCAGTATCAAGTGAAAATCCAGAACAAGAGTTTTTGTCTGCTTCTTTCTGGATTGGCGGATATCTATGAACAATATGGGGTCTTGGTCTCAGAAGTTCAAAAAGTGAACCTACTACCATTTCAGCGATTTGACAAGTTTACAGATCACATGGAGAAAATGAAGAAAATGGTCAAGTGCCTTTCAGATCACAACAACTGCGGGAAGGACAAATGCTTCTGGCCACATTATCACAAGAACAAACCAGGCATTCTTAACGGCCAGTTTGTTGGCACTCAGATTATAGAGGATCACGAAGAACAGCATGTTCATAACACGAGGAGAGCCCGGCAACAAGAAGCAGATAATGCCACCACAAGCCCCGTCATGGCCGCGGAAAGGAAACTCGCTGACTTGACAACCCAACTTGTGAAAGGTTTCAGGGAAGACGTTTATAGCGAAGATGCCTTGGAAATGGTTGAAAGTACAAGATTTTTGACTGATCTGAAATCCTTAGCCATGCAGATTCGAGAGAAAGGACATATTTTATTAGGTGTTCTTAATGCCGACAAGTTTGTTCGAATCGCCAAGAAAATCTCGCGAAACGTCCGCGTTGTGAATAACCAAGAGATAGTTCGACAATACAAGATTTTCGTACGAAGACTGGCATCAAAAACAGAAGCAATAGCAATACCAGAGTTGCAAAAGATGGATAGCAAGGATTTAATAAAAAAATTCCTGACCAGTGGCGGTGAACTATACGTTGGTTGTGAGATGGTAGTTGAAGCAATAGTTGTTGCAGCAATCAAAATGACTGTTGAGTCTATTGCTGAATCAGTTATTTCGCGCTACAATACGCACAACAGTAAACTAAGAAGTATGTCCGAGGAAGCTGTGAACAATGAGCTGTGGATTGCCTGCAACGGCCCAGAGCTTGGTGGTGCTGATCGCATCTTATCTTCAGCCTTGTCAAAGTATTTCAGGCATGGAAACTGGCATTTTGTAACAAGAAAAGGAGAGCAGAGTAAACTTTATAACAGCAAAGTTATAAACAGAATCATCTCACAAGAATCGAGATTGCCCTTCGTTACACAATAGGGTGCATGTTAAGCAAATATCTACTTCACTGTGTTATGTAAAGTTTCTATTTGGTTAAACGTATAAGCATTAAGCAGTCGAACTGTTGATGCAATTGTATGATTTAAGCTAGCCTACTCAGTATTATGTGAGTTATTACAGTAGTTCACTTCGACTTTGTAAATAGATTCTATATACACCACAAAAATATTACTCTTTTTAGTCTATTTCAATAATTATAAGGATAAATGATAAGTGATAACATGCGTTTGCTGTGAGCCTGCCCACAAAATAAAACTGCAAAAAGTGCAAAGAATGATCATTCCTTAGTTAAAACCATAATCACCAATCACGTGTGCATTATACAGGTAGCTACAATTTATAGCGCTATATTTGACATGGTCATAATCTACACACTGCAGGTCTGCAGGAAATTTATAATCTTCTTACTGTGCTCGCAGGAAGAAAATTATTTTTTCCACCCCTGGCCATGGGCTTTTCAGAGTTAATTCATCTGCCAATATTAAATTAAACATACAATAAAATTATTTGCATGTCCACACTAATTTAATTCCACTTTAATTGCGAAAATCTTTACAGATCGAATCAATAGGTCTTAAGGAGTCGGATGGCTCATTTCAATGTGGTACAGCTTTATATAAAAAATAGGTACGCGACGCGTACATGTATCTGCGAAAAAAGTTGATTCACATTTTGTATTTTCTTGAAAGAAACTGAATAATGAAGATGACATGGGACAATTGAAATATTTCATCACTTATTATAATAGCAGATAAGATTTAAAACAGGGCTGTACACAGCGGGGAGTGCAGCAGGGCAAGTGCTACCCCCGCCCGCACCGAGAAAATTTAACTAACTTTATAATGTGATTATGATTGTAACAGATAATTATGCAGTCAGGAAATAAAAATTTCATGCAAACAATATTCAAAGTGTCTATACAGCCGGCTATTTAGTAAACTGTCACCTATCAATTCAATCCATACTCATCAAATTTTCAAAACTTTATTGTGATCATATGAAGCAAAAGTTATGTCACTTGTTGTTTACACTTGCCAATGTTAACTGTTGAGTCACATACACAAAATATTTGGTGAACATGTCGAAGACCACTGAATAATTGAGAATGTTTTAAGGTCATGAGTGAAGTATATAATTAAATTCCAGTTCTGTGCACAGTTAATGATATACCATACTGTTCGGTTTAACACGTACAGCCAGTCGTACAGCGCATTCACACAAAAACAATCGTGTTGTGGGAGATTATCTGTTTGAGTAGAAGGTATCACAAGTTTAGTTTTGTACATTGTGTGCCATTGATCAAATCCACCATATAATATATGATTACTCATTGTAGCTGTTAAGTTATTTTCCATACTAATGAATTTAGGTAAGATTGTCTTGCAAGTTGGTTGTTCTGACAAAATTATCCAGCCAATATCCAGTACATTTGTTCTTCATTCTTGTATTAATCTCTAAAGAAAAATATTTATGTTAGAAAGCAAAATGACAATGTAATGAGGGTCGGAGGGTGAGGATTCTTTTATTTGAAAATGTTTGTAAAAATTTTGTTTAATTAACTCTAATGTGTAAAACCAAAATGTATAAGTATTTTAAATTAACTGATAACATCTTCAACCTTTGCTCTAACACTACATTTGATGACAGCTTTATAGTTGGACTGTTGTTTTGAACAGAGTTATGGAGTCAATATGCAGAAATACAGAACCAGGATTTAATTCAATATCTCCTGAGAATGTTTTCACTGTTTAAAATATTACAGAAGTCACAGAAGGATTGTTTTTAATACTGTATAAATCTTTTTGTGAACTATGTTGACAAATGGCTTAAAATATCCTGGAAAATATCCAAAATTTTATACAGTGTAATATATTAATAAAAAATTTCCAGAGTGCATTCCATGTAAACTCTACGCCGAAGATACGGCAATATTAACTATAGATAGTATAGTAAATATTTGCCGAACTGGCGAGCTCATGTATTATAAAATATGTGGGACATATATTTGCACAAATTTGGTATTTAAATATATAATATGCGGTATTTGACTACTTACCAGATGAGGATAAGATTCCATGTTAATAAATAACTTCGGAATAATATCGCAAGTAGAATGGCGAAAAAAGTCAGAAAACAAGACAGCCAATTCAAGATAAATTGATAAAAATATCAAGATATTTTTCAGAGAATATAAACACGATTTATACACGAGGCCTGACGAGGCTAAAGTATGACGAATCGCTGATTGGCTTAAATTGGCATAACATGGCTTAAATTATATAAGCTCGTCGCTGAATGGCTATGTGTTAACATACGCGGTAACAGTCACGGTACGGCCACGGCACGTTTACGATAGCATATGATACAAAAACCTGTACAAATTGTTGACCCGCGACCAAAGGGAATCTTTAACATATTTTTATTTCCAGTGTTAACGATTAGGTAATTGAGATCTTGACTTTACCAGAAATTTGTCAGAAATGTATATTCAGGCTAAGCCTTTTAAATATTTTAAAGTCAATGCATCGTCTCTGAATTTTAGCATGTGCGTACTATTCACCGACAACGTACCCGTTACGTACCCGTTCAGTTCTGCCAAACCATGCAGGTGTTACGTGATCAAATTTTCTAGTATATGTAACTTATAACGCGCCGCCTCAATTTTAAGCGGCGACAAGTGGTGTTCTAAATTGGCTGCGCATGTATAGAACCTATCTTGACCATAAAATATACCCCTCTCGCCTCTGACTCTTATATATTGTGGCGAATTCATACAATATGCACGAGAAGGTTTTTCCCAATTAATTTTTGTGGTAGTTTCTTTCATGTGCGAGGTCTCCAATATAGAAAATTTAAGGTACATGTATATATTTCTGAGAAAGTATATATATGATAACAGAGACTTATAAGGCTTGTAAGTCACTATTCCAGTTTAAAGGTAGGTTACAGTCGCATCTGCGCATGTGCTGGACTTTGTTTACGTTTTTTGTTTTGATCCACATTAATTATATAAGATGAAGTATATGACGAGTTTAAAGTAACATTCCACATAATTTGTGACCGAGGAGTGCAATGTTTTACAATACTTCGCTGCATTTCTTTTACATTTCTACACTTGAAATTTTTGTACACTATAACACAATCTTATACTGTAACGTTTTAACTGTAAACATTGTGAATAAAGAGGCCGCTTTGAACCTTGTGTGGCTTGCTATATCAACAGCTGGGGCGGCGAACCGAAATCCCGAAGGTGTGAGTTCGAATAATTTGTGTTTAGTGTTTACCTTTGGAGTTTGTGTCTAATCACGAAAATAGTTCATGCGGTATCAATCCCTCGAAACATGTTGCCAGAGTTGTTGTTGTCATTATGACAGAAGCACTTGGGGAAAGCTTTTCGCTTGACGAAATTCGAAACAAGTGTGATTGAGAATGTGGCTGCAGTTCCTGTCTTCGTGGCAAAGCCAAGGGCGAAATTTTTGACCGTGCAAAAGCTGGATAAACAGCTTTTGTTCAAGCTCGTGCGCGCTATGGAGATAATTTTGGATGCTGTTTTAATATAAACAACAGAAGAGTTCAATAGATTGACAATGACGAGAATACGAGACGCTAAGATTATATTCAACTTTTTTGTGTTATAAAAATGTATGTTTTGAAATTATGAACTGGAAGTATGAATTCATTGATATTACTCTCATATTGACACTAAATGATGATATTCTTGTGACACTGAATGATCTAATATTAGCTTGAACAATTCTGGTGATCAGGTTACTTCATCATGTCTCTTCAAGACGGAGGACAATTGCTAAATATATGCTTGTTTCGCTCTATATCAGAGCTCATCAGAATGCCCAGGAAACACTGATGAACTTTTGATTTACATCAACGAATCTTTCTTTTTTTCAACAGATTTATTGGGTTATATGGCAATATATATATACAGACATTAAAGGAGAACTCCAAGGGGTAAAGCACAAACATGACTCCAGGGCTTTATTTATAGCCTTTATATGCCCCCTGAGAATACTGAATATAACTACTAAATATAATTACAGTACGTTTGTAACATGAACAATCAGATAAGTACCATTTACATAAGAACCTGTTTAGGCTAACTTGGAAAAAATCTAGGTTCTTATTCGCAGGGTTTTACTGTGTTGTCTAATTTTGTCCCAAAACAGACCATGCACGGCAGCCTGTTCTGGCAACATAGATAATGGCATGGTGCCACTCTTTGTGACACAAAATCAGGCAATTATAGTACAATATGAACTGGCAAGTGTCTGGCACCTTAAAACCAGATTGCTTTGTGTAGATGGAGCTCATAAGCCTTGGCTGGCAATCATCTAGGAGAAAGAAAGCTCTGATTTCAAACCCCCAGACCCCACTTTTGGACAAGACAATTGTATAGTAACTATATCAGTCATGATCATCTAAAAATGCCAGTATATATGCACTTATACAAAGCTGTATGCACTGTAAATTTAGACTTTATTTATCTTAATGACATTTTCAGGGTTCTGGATCATTTTCATTACTTTGTGAAGAGTTTATTCTCTTTGATTTTTATACATTTTTAGATCTTACTGGTCTCCATGTGATAAAATAAGAACCTGAAACACTAGCCTAAACAGATTGGGTGTATAAATACTGAAAAATTAGCCTGACAGGCCCTTATATACAGTAGGTTCTTATATGCAAGCTTTACTTACAACTAGGGCGGAAAATATACTAGTAATTATTAGTTGAGTTTGTTTACATCATATAAGTATTTGTGATCAAAATCTTTTATAAACTAAATGTCTTAGGGGTGTTTATATGGAGGCAAGCCAGCCCGGTTACCTGAGCTAGGTGTCTTTGCCTAGCTAATTTCATCATGTAGCAGGCTGGCACCAAAACAAATCATTGCGAGAAACTGTCATGGTTATGACCGTCACAACTGTTCACAGAGGCATTAATTTTTAAAACTATAGATTTAAAATCTGTTGAGAAAGTCTTATTTACTACAATTAGTAATTGGCAATATATTCGTATTCAGCGGCTTAGGCAAACCAGCCAACCTAGGCGAGATCTGGGGCTCTGTCGGGCTTCACAAATTAAACAAGATCTCGCTTAGGCAAGCCAGCCTAGTTTTCATATACACACAATACGAATATTAGTATAAATTATCTAGCAACATTAGATCTCGGCCAAGCGAGCTAGCTCAGGCACCCGAGCTAGCTCAGGCACCCGAGCTGGCTTGCCTCCATATAAACACCCCACTAGGTCAAGTACTGTAACTTCAGAGCAACTAAAAGGCATTTAAACTGTTATGTGTTTTGATCAAATTAAAATCTACTTTAACTTTGATCAGAGAAAATTTTTGATGTGTTTCTATTAAGTTTTAAGTGAGCACAAGTTGTCCATGAGCAGACAGTCAAAGACAGTAATTAACGCACTGCCACAGCCAAGTAGATTATCACTCTGACCACAGTCTGACAAGTGACAATAACACGTCTATATAAACAGTCATCCAAAAGTCCAAATTGTTCATTATTTTTTCATCGACAACTCACTACTCACGAGTATCATATCTTTAGGCCTTTATAATTATATTATGGGTTTCAGTTTGTAAATAAAATAGATAAACAGTTCGTAACTATATATTAACGATAGTGAAATAGTGTAATATAGAAAATTTTATAGTCATTAAAACCTCGATTGATGGGCTTTAAAACAAGCGATTTCTCTGAAGGATCAACATTGCAGCTATGTTGGGAGCAATCTCCAATCCTTCTTGGATTCGTTTCTTGACAACCTTTGGTAGAAGCTTGAGAATGCAGGTATATCATGGCCATTCATGGGCAGACGCAGAAATGGATGCGCTCTCCATCGAGGAAAACAATAAAATAGATACACTTTGATACACTTTCGAAGCATCCCTGTTAGCGTAGTATCCTTTCCTACTCGTCATGTTGCCTCAATAACTCGTTATTTGACGGACTGTCGCTCAAAAAAGCTCAAAATATTTTGGAAACTTCTTCGCTCCTTGGGCATTAAATTCACTTGCGTTATAAAAACAACGCGCGTGTTATTGCCAGAAATAAGACTGGACCGAGCACAAACAGAGGATGACAACTTCCTGTGTGTCCCCACATAAACAAAAGTCTAACACATGCGCAGATGCGACTGTAACCTACCTTTAAAGAAGCGTGAGATCGATTATACAGCTTACGGGCGTGTGCATGTTAAATTGGCCATTTCGAAATTCACATGCAGTTTTTGTATCTGCGCGTAGCGCAGATATATTGCCATCGCGTCAGTCAGTAAAGTAAAGTAAAGTAAAGTAAAGTAAAGTAAAGTAAAGTAAAGTAAAGTAAAGTAAAGTAAAGTAAAGTAAAGTAAGTTAAGTTGTTAACTCGTTAAGTCCGTCAACCTTGTTTTGAAGACCTGTTCGCAGGCTAGAACAGCTTTAAAACAAGATGGCGTCTTTCGAAACGCTTTCAAGAGTAGTAATCATTAGTAATCGTGCAGCATTCCAACTCTTCCGATTTTACCGGGAGTCTCCCGAAAATTGATGCAATCTCCCGGTCTCCCGATTTTTATCAAATTCTCCCGATTTTTCAGAATATTCAGGAATATCATAAAAAATTATAAGTATACTGTTTTTAGCAACATCATAGTCTGTCTTGACCTTTTTGAAGTTGCTTTATGACAATTTATAGGATCACTTATAACAACATAGTCCCAAAATGCAGGAAACGCCATTTCAGAAGACTTAATTTTTATTACTTTTTCCCAGAAGAACTATATATTTCAATTCACTGAACAGTCTCCCTAAATTTTACCTCCAGTGGTTGGAATGTCTGATCGTGGTATTAATAGACTTTATCCTGACTTTATTTTGATAAAATCTTCTTCTATAGCAGTCTTGGACTGATATAACTCTTACAGTCAAACCGGATGTTCTGTTCCATGAGTATTGCAACATTGCAATCAATCTTGCAATGTTGATTGCAAATTGCTCCGAGCAAATTACACGCAAGTATGCAACTGTCATTTTTTCAAGTTCCTATCACTCCCGTGTTGGGTCAAGAGAATAACAAATCAAAAGGACTAATATTTTGCCTACCACTTGACAAATTGAAGGTAAACTGGAATGTATAGAGGATATTTATACATGGTTGTGCGGAAATATGTAATTTATTTCGAGTGTTGAAGAGAACTACTGCTAACGAGTGAGCGTAGCAAATTGCAAGTTGTTCCATTATGTGATTTAATAATCTAAATTTTTGAGTAAGGTCATGGACATATTGTAATTATTATGAGTATTTACTATTTTATCTTCGTATCAAACCAAATATATAGCATTGCGAGCTTTAATTGGTATTAAACTCTGCCAGTTTGAGAACATATGTTTACATATTTAACTACCGCAAAATAAATCCCTCTTTGGCACTGAATTTTTTCATGTTATTTAGTATTTTTGTATCACGTTAAGATCAAAATGGACATATTTCTTGAATAATACTTTTAATCTGTGAAATGATATATATAAAAATATTAGTCCTCATACTTCGTTTTGGATTTGTTACTTTTTGTGATAGATAGGGGTACCAAAGCCTTGATATTTCCAGAGGTATTAAAATACAAAATTAGCCTGTGACAGTATGCTCCTGATTTTACTTCATACTCGATTTGGAGCAACACAAGTTCTACAACAAGAACGTACACGATGTACTGTGCAAATATAAAACGTCATATTTATAGATATTTGATTGACATGTAATGTTTACGTACAGGCCACGCATTTCATACCGCACGGGTTTTCCCTGAGTTTTTATAATCAGGGCTTGCATTTCCGGCAATTGTTTTATGGTTGAATCTTCACGAAACAATTACAAATTTTAGATAGACACGCAAATTATATTTGCGTATATATCTTGACTGTTATTTAATGGAGGCCTCTGAAACTAGGCTAAACTATGAAAACAAAGTATAGGATAAACGTAGCCCTGTTGTTTTAAATGTCAGAAACTATTATTAGCTCATGACTCCATGTACAGACGTCTAATCCCACGTCTTTGAATCCACACATTTTACAGCCTTAATTATTTTCTTTAAATTGTTCTTAAAAGTAATGAACTGTATGAATAGCAGATATTTAGCTCCAGATAAAAAGAAACATTTTTGTATGATTGTTATCAGTTGCCGTGATTCGCGGGATATAAATGGTTCTCGTCCTCTTAATTTAGAAGTCACTGGTTAAATGTAAATATTATTTCTGAAGCAGGCATATAATTTCAACTAGCACAATTTCGCACAATTGCTGTAAAAATGTAATTCCGAGAATGCAACATCAATGCAGTAAAGGCCTGATTCCACGAGCGTTTTTTTCTCGGCGAAATGCGAAACATTTCTACTTACTGCGAAAGCAGACAAAGTGGGACAATTCAGTACAATCGCTCTTGTGCAACCACCGTATTTCGCAGACACAAGTTCTCGCGACGAATTTCGCGGTCGTGGAATCAGACCTTAAGATCCAGACACACCGGACGCGATTCGACAACGCGACGCGATTTTTCAGTTAGTTTGAAAAACAGCCAATGAGAGCAAATCAGTTAGAAACATATGTAGATCAAGTAACTTAGAATGTTATAGCGCTTCTAAATATTTGGAAAATTTAAACTTGGATCAAAGTTATCGGTCAGTGAAAATCGAAAAATCGCGTCGCGTTGTCGAATCGCGTCCGGCGTGTCTGGACCTTTAATGCGCAGATACATGTACGCGGTCGCGTACCTATTTTTCTATTGAGCTGTCTCATATACCAATGCTTCTATTCTGTCGTCTTAAAATTGCTCTGTTTCACTGATTGTGTCGCCTATATTGTTTGCTATGATATGATCATCCACTGCGCATGAGCTATTCTGCAATCTGATTGGATGCTTGAACTCGCCATGTGCCAGCTCCTATAGCGGCAAGTAGTGAAAATGAGATGGCGGCACAAAAAGATTGCGAAGCAGAATTGAAAACGGCAAAATATTCGCTTTAAGGAGGCTCCCTACAGTAGCGTGCTGGATGTTCGCGTGACCACTACGTGAACTATCCCACGCAACCGCATGATCAAAACAAAACAAATTGACCGGGCTTTTTTAAAAAAAAGCGATTTCTGAAAGGTTTCTAATGGAAAAAAGTGTTGAATAATACTTCGTTTGAGTGCCAAATCACTTGCGAGTCTATACAGCAATTGTACATATGATACGAATATCACTAGACCAAAAAATAGCTACGAAACAATGGTTTTTAATTTTTTTACTAGAAATACATGCATGCAACGACCCCTCGCCTATATTTTCCAAACATTGTTTCAACATGAAGTATTCGTAATTATGCCAACACTGAACGCAGGCTCGCGTTGGCTCATGCATAGTCATGGCAACACGATAATTGTAGTTTTTAAACTTTTTGTACTAACCTGCAAAAATAGATAAAACTTGAACACTTTTAAATACAGAACTATCAATTTATAAAACATATAAAGTAGGTATATTATTTTGCTTTCTATGGGCTTTATTTTAATGTAAAATTCAAAACGAAACTCTATGTAAAACGTTTTAAAACGTGAATTGAAATTAACTGCTTTTTGCATAGGCAGCCCAAAACGGCGTGTAGAATGCACCAAATGCCAATTTATATTAAGCTCGCCCCAATCGGCTGTCATTTGTTGCGCCCCGCAAGCACTCAATGAAAAGCATTGTTCATATATATAGAATGTACCTATATACCTAGGTATATTCTATATATATGAACAATACTTTTCATTGAGTGCTTGCGGCGCACGACAAATGACAGAGGAATGGGGCGAGCTTAATATAAATTGACATTTGGAAGCATTTGGTGCATTCTACACGCCGTTTTGGGCTTCCTATGCTTTTTGCCGATATTTATAAACCGTCTTCAACTCGGGCTTCAACTTATTACTTGCACTATGAAATGAAATAAATTTGATTCGTACAGGATGCTTATGAACATAATTTGCTTTCCTTTTTATCATGAACTTCTACAATTTACAATTTAACTAAGAAACTTTCGCATCCTAATTAGTATGATTATATAATAATGGTTCATCCTAATTAGTATTCTTTTGTAGTCGTATTTTAAGCTATTCAAAACACTCGTTGTCGTTTTTTATCAGACATAAAACGCTCGGCTGCGCCTCGTGTTTTATATCTGATAAAACACTCCTACTCGTGTTTTAAATAGTACATACAAATACACTTAAGATATATATAGTTTAAATACAAAAGAAATTAAAATTTCCAGGCCAAGTTGCGACACGGCCAACCGAAAAGTTCAAATATTACAACAGGGCTATTTAACAATTATTCGCCGAAGGCGAGGTGATTATTGGAGAATATTCGCCGAGACGAAGTCGAGGTGATTATTCCCCGATAATCACCGAGCCTGAGGCGAATAATTGTTTTAGTATTTTTACACAAGTCTTAGTGTTTTTTTGGAACTGAATTTATTTTAATTTCGCTTATTTCTTTATCAGTAACTTCCACAAAACGGCTAGCGGCCATTTTTAAAATTGCGGTTTTGTTATATTCACCTGTAGGTGAATATAACAGCTTAATACGTCAAATTTGACCAGTCAACTTGTAGGATTTGTTATGTTCACTTGTGCAAAAATACTAAAAGACTATATTAAATAACGAACAGCTCATATGCGACTTGAGCTCATGGTATAATTATTAATTGTTCTACGGTACAATAGAGGAATATGAGCTCATTCATTCGTTCATGTTAGCGTATTATGCATGAGAGTATTATCTTTTACTTTTTTAGGTCTGTGTGAAAATGATACTAAAGAAGATCATAATGAATTATAGGATTTGCAACTTCCATTATTGCCTTACCACCGGTAGGGACATAGCATGAAAAATAAGAATTAAAAGGCAACACAACAATAATTATATGTAAATAATTAAATGTACATGACACAATTAGTTAGCCATGCATTTTAATGTCATTCGCAGTTTTCAAATTAAATTTACAAGAATACTGTATATGTTCACTTGTATGATAGTCAAAAATGCAAATAATGAATGTTTTCTTTCGTGCAATGTAAAAAGTATTTTCATGAGGTGAAAGATTGGAAATTCCATCAGGATTATTATGAAAAAATGCGTTATTTATGTTGATATACGTGTTGTTGTTGATCATATTTATTATGAAATTTATGATTTAACAATTTTTGAGCGGGATATTTAATTTTACGTGTGTAAATTTCGCGGGGTTTTATATTCGCGCGACTTTAATTTGGCGATTTTTTTCAATCGCGAAATTGAAGTCGGGCGAAATTAAGTATACGAATAAGGTACATTTACCCTGATCAAAAAGAATTAAAATCCAACAAAAAGTGCCAACAAATGTTTTAGTGAAGAATTAATATGATAATGGAGGTCATTTATCGTAAAAATTATCGTAAAAAATTTACACCCACCATGTAGCTTCGCACAAGTTATGTCTTATGTCGAGTTATGATTCCATCGGTCTCAGTATGAAAATTATAGTTAACATTAACACTAACACTGTTCCTATGTGTTTATATATCTGAGCATAAGACTTCTGAACTTTCCTGGAAATGATTATAATTTATTGCCCTGTCTTAAGTGTATTTAATATAAATTTGGTTGAAAACGAAGGATACCTAAAATACTTAAAATTTTAGAAAACTGTAGGGAGCTACCTTAAGATGAATATATTTCTCAGCCGATTCGATTGACATGCGAACCAAATTTTCTTCATAGCTAGTTGGGAAAGCCGTGTAATCCCTTACAATCTCTCTTTTTCCGATATCCACATAATTATACAAATTTTAAAACCAAAATTTCGTGTGAAAAAGGCATGAAAGTTTGGATACACAGAAAAAATTGTGATAAAAATATTTGAAAAAAATTTCATGGACGATGTGGGAGGAGGTTTACGGTTTGTAAAGCGGATGTGATTGGTCCAAAAAGCAAACAAATTTGTGTACGTACGCTTTCAATAATCCAGTGGGAGCAAGCTATACTATTCACTGAACCTATCAACTTTTTTAAATAAATAGCCTAAAAGATATTTTCACATTTCTACATTTTGGTGCTTTTTCGTAACTTCTGTGCTATATTTCAAATTGAAATATAATATATTTCAAATTGAAATATAACTATATAAGCACAAAATTAACAAAAAATAACTATTTGGCCAATCAGATTCGCTTTGCGAACCATAAACTAGCAAAATTCTAATTATTTGCTTCCTACAAAAAAGAAAGCAATTTTTGTGATGTCCGTTTATATAATTATCGTTGTTATATAGGTGCCGTGGTCAATATGGACTATTAAAGTAAGTTATAGAGTGGATCGATATCGCAAATACCGATATCTATATACCGCCATCAGAATACCGGTAAATACCAGTATACCGGTATTTTTAACGTGTTTTTTTACGCCAAACTGAACTGCTGACCGTCGAGAAAAATCAAGTTTTGACAAAATATTAATGTGTCACATACTGTTATTAGTGCAAATGTCACAAGATTCGCATTATCAAGCTATGTTAACGGCGCTACGCGGCAATTATTAGTACACTCTAAAAACAGGTGTGTTCAATTACACACCAAGGTGTGTTTAATTACACACCAAGGTGTGTTTAATTACACACCAATGTGTGTACATTTTACACACCTTCCTATACAATTTTAGAAACACACCTTTGTGTGTTAGAAAACACACCATGATGTGTAACAAACCACACCTAGGTGTGCTAAGAAACACACCTGTATTTTACACACCTTTTCGTACACACCTTTGATGTATATAAGGTGTGTTCAATAACACACCTTTTGAATGAAAACACACCTTGGTGTGTTCGAGAACACACCTCGTACTAATTTACAAAAACACATCTTGGTGTGTTAGATAACACACCCTACACCGATTTTGGAAAACACGCGTGCACGGTGTGTACTGAAAAATGCTTTTTAGTAACATACAATAAATCCAATCATCAATCACGGTAATGTATGCTATAATATGTTTTTCGGATATATACAGTAGATGTAAATGGCGATATTGACTTTGCCGGCGTGTCTAATAACCGTTTGATATTTGTTGTGTAGTATTTTATTCCTTCGCATGTAGTAAGAGCATTACTGGGACTATTTATTTTCTAAGAGATTAATCTGTCTTTAGCACACCATTAATATCTGAAATATAGGTAACTGGTCTTTTGAAGCTCTTCGGATCGAAAGAAACGAAAATTCTCACGATGAGCGCGATTTTACAGACTGGTGCCTAGTTTTCGTACTACGCGCGCAAAGCTTCCCGGGATAGCGTCATTTATTCACAGTTTTCACTGAGCTATACTATATTACTGGAGGACCTGCTCGGCATCATCAAGTGAAGCCGAAAACATGGCGGCTATTACGCCATTTCCATGACAACACTTACTTTATTTTCATGGTAACTGCCACTGACCAACCGCGATCCTAAACTTCCGACGATGTCCTTAACCCCCCTGGTTTTTGGGTAAATATTACGATATAGATATTAAGATATAAAGTTTTCTCTCGAGTTTTCTGTTGTTTTTGAGCTAAAAAATCTTAATATTTCCCTCGAACATTACTTGTTTTACAACGCGGAGCGAGGGTGCGGGTTTGCTTCGCTTGTGGATGCAGCATTTCACTACAAAGACTACAAAGAAAGACTAATTCTTTAAGGTAAAATTCACGAAACTTTTTTATAACTTTCTAGACGGCTAGAGTCACTAGACCCTTCATAATATGTCAAAAACTCATCATCCTAATATATACAGCGAATATTTCAATAGGGGTCATAAAAGTATTGTTAACGATTAAACATTGCAGGCTGTCGACTGGGCGTCGAAGTGTTGAATCATTCAGTACTACAAGGTGATGTAAATCTAATTAACTTTGCTTTCTAAATGTGATTGTAAGCATGTTTGACTTGAAATGGCGTTTCAATTCGGTATTAGGTAGCAAAATACCGAAATGTCGGTATATCGGTATTCTTAAATTGTCAATATCGCCAATACCGGTATCTAAGCAAATACCGGTATACCGCGGATATATCCGGTATATCGATCCACTCTAAAGTAAATAAAGCTTTCGTTCCGTGCAGCAGATGGTACTTACTAAAATAAGAAAACCGACAGAGACCTGGTATATTTAGTGTGTTGCTAGCTATGCATGACAACCATGCACATAAACGTTCCAAAATGTTTAATTATAGGTACACTCATGCAAAGTGCATATGAAACGAAAACTTTCGTTGTCTTATTTGAAAGAACTATAAAAATCTATAGAGTATCTTCTTTTGCAGTTTTTCGCTTCGTTGCTTCGTTTTCGGGATATTTCAGCGAGTTTAACACACGCGTGTCAAGTGTACACGTCACAAATAAGCGTAATGTCTAATGAGTTTGCTGAAAATATTATATCTTGTTGTTATTATGAATTTAGGACTTTATTTGTCCAGTTGTCCGGCCCTTCAATTTTTATAATTGTAAAATTAATAAAAAAAAGAAATGAAATTACTAGAGTATGCAGGTATTTGATGCTCAATCTATAGAACAACACAAATGCACAATATATATTTTTCTTTAGTGCGGCGTTGGTTGATAATAACAAGGATATACAACTTAATCTGATAACTCATTATACGTTTTGTGATGTATAGAAACCATAACACGTATATCAAACTTAAGGCTAGTTTCCACTCAGGAAAATTATCCGTGGATTGGAACGGACAAGAAAGTTTTTCTTTGTCTTGTGAGCTCTGGTTGTCTTGTGAGCTCTGGGTTTCTTGTCCGTTCCAATCCACGGATAATTTTCCTGAGTGGAAACTATATACAGCCTTAACGAAGATACAGTATCTCGAAAACGAAGCAATGGAACTGCACCAAATTTCATTTAATTTCATTAAATCACTGTTGAGATGTTAGACTTTCTTCTTTTTGTGTTGTAATGCACAGTAAAAGTCTTACAATAAAATTGCTTAAAAGTCCATGTACTATTTAAAACATGCGCAGCAGTGTTTTATCAGATATAAAGATACGAAGCGAAGCCGAGTATCTTTTGGTCTGATAAAACACGCACTGCGAATGTTTTAAATTGCTTCAAAAACGATCGATCTAGTAAGTTCATTGACATTGGCGAAGTAATTTTCAAAAAATACGTTGTGCATGTCTCAGTCGAAGTTAAAGTTTATGTATATATAAATCAGGGGAAATCTCTATCACATATAAAGATAGGCCCTACAACACGCTAATTTTTCTTTGTCATTTCCTCATTTTGTATTATTTATAATCAACATTATTCGAATATGATTATTTTTCTTCATATCAATCGCGATCAAGAGCAGGATGATTTATTTCTTTTCCCACTTTTTCCAGGCAAGTGCTTCCAGGTTTGCACACGGCAGTTCCACCATGACTGCGATAATAAATGCAATTGCATATGTCAGCACTAGCGCCGATAAGAAATAGGTCACCTGAAGTTAAAAAAATCACCACAATTTATCGTATTGTAACTGTCGACTATGGATTTAATCATATTATTCAATTAAGTAACTTAATAAAGGCATTGCCGACAGGTTTTAAGTAAATCTGGGTTTCAGGTTTTAAGTAAATCTGGGTTTCAGGTTTTAAGTAAATCTGGGTTTCAGGTTGTAAGTAAATCTGGGTTTAATCCAGAAAAGGGTCCTCGAGGAGAACTTTGAACTACAGAATGATATACTTAGACTTTACATATCAATTAGAGATTAAAAACTTCCAAATTACTTCCTATAGGTATATTGCCAATGTCCTTTGATATATATCCGGGGTTTTTTCCCAGGATTTTCTCTTGGGTCCGTTTTTGCAGAGAAGATTGAGTTTAGCTGAACAGCTGGGGTGGCTGCACAACCCCCCCCCCCTCCCCCCCCCCCTACCAGGGGGCTGACACTTGTACTTAATGTGTTAAAGCAGGGGCACTGAAGGACACTATAAGACCCTATAAACTGGTTAAAGATGGCGAATGCATAGTTTTTCTTGTGTTGTGAGATGAATTCCAGCCATTTTGTCGGGTTTCCAACTGAAAACTAATTTCCACACATCACGAATTTAACTGAAACAACTTCATATTTACTGCACTGAGACTTTGGTGAGAAGATTGAGTTTCAAAACTCAATTCAAGATTGAGTTTTTTGGGCCGTTTAACGGCTCTAAAAAATCCCTGAAAAAAACCCTGATATCTGGATTTATGATGTGAAGCAACGTTGACTTCAATAACGAAGTCAACGTTAACCATGCCTATAGATTACTAAATCTTCAAGTTCAATAAATATATAGAGGATGCCATGGTCATCTCGACTTGGTTAGAATGATGAAATGTCGATCGGAATTGTATGTGAAATATTACTGGAAAAACGGATCATTATTGCACTGATAACCATCGTTTGATTTATGAAAAGCCAATTTTCATTTTCATGCATTGAGGCTTGAGCTCTTACCATTGTAAACGATGTGAAATGAATAGGACTCTCAATGTTGTAAACCAGAACCTGTATGACATCGAAGTGTATGATAAATGCAGCATAATTTATGTGACTTAAAGGAATCCAGAATTTTGCCACAAGAATGTTCTTTACTAAACCTAGAACAGATATTATACCTATTAAAAATTTGTAAAGTAGATGAATGCATATAAACCACCTGCCTGTAAGGCTAGAAACTATATGCACGGAGTAAGCATACATTCACGTTTACCGATGTAATCGCAATTCGAAAAACAAAAGTTCTAACTGATATATGGACATACGTCCAATTTCGCTGAACTCCACCTTGACAAACATTTACGGACGATTCGTAGCGAATTTGCTTATTAGACCGATTATAGATAAGATTGGCAAACGACAATTTGGCTCGTTAAGGAGGCATGCATTGCTGAGTTTTGTTCACTACATTCTTAGAGAAACTGATGGTTCAAAAACGTCGTAAGGATTTTCTACTAGACTTTGCAAAGGCCTTGTTGATGTTCATGTTGATCATACAACTTTAATTACTATGTAAACTTTCATTCATGGATATTCCACCAATTATGATAAATTGGATTAGAGACTTCCTTACAGAAAGAGAACAATGAGTCAGGGCCGGTTCCTGTGTGTCAGATTGCCAAAAAATAAATGGAGGATCGGAGTCCCGCAAGGCAATGTATTGATGGGACCGATCCTTTAATTTCTTGCTGTAAACAACCTGTTTGAAGATTGGAAAGATCGTTGGAAATATGTCGACGATATAGTACCGGTGTTGAAAGTATCGAACCAAATCGTGCAATCATCTTCACGATTTGATGAATTATATGTCTCTGTATGGACTGCTAATAATAATATGAAGCTATAAATACCTCTAAATGTAAAGAATTGATAGTTTATTTTGTTTAAGATAAAAAGGTATTTTTGGCTGTGACTGTGGATGGTATTCCTAAACCGCGATCGTCTAATCCGCTAGGATTTTAGGCCTTACAGTTCAAAATAATATGAATTGGAACCTACAAGTGGATTAAATCGTCAACAAGGCAAACAAAAGACTTCTTAATACGCTAAGATTATTAAAACGTTCTAGTGTTGTCGAAAAATGTTGATTACTGTGTATTTTACTGCAATAAGGTTCATACTTTAATATGCTTGTGAGGTATATATATGCATGGTATTTTAATATCCGAAACGTTTTATGCGAAAGAATCCATGCAAAAGCGTGGCTTAAGAATTATCCTACTCTTATCAAGTTATAGAGAAGTACTAACCACTAAATATTACGGGCATTACTATAGGCCTACATTACAAAACAGACGTGAAAGCCCATGTGACCAATTCTTTCAACAAAACAAGAATTACAAATTAGTAAGATTGTTTTCTGAATTAGTGTCATCAGCCTATGACTGAATAACATTATAATAATTATTCGATATACTGATAATTACTTGTGTAAAACTAAACGTTTTATTAAAAAACTCTTTTCTTCTTCAAATTATTTCAAAGGAGAGTAGTCGGGATCATTTGATATCTAAACGTTTTCGAAATATTAATAGTTATTTACAAGGCAATTACAGTTTACAGGAAAAAGATCAATTTATAGCTAATAAACTGAAATTTTGCGCACGCCTCATATTCATTTGCCTAATTAAACTTGCATTTTGTTCGTATGTCACGTCATCGCATAGCCTACCTATCATGCGGCACCCCCAAACTACCTACTATACTACAAATATATCGTTTTTTAAGTAATAAGCCACTTTCAACCACACCCACCTGCATAGTTATAATGACAGGCAAATATTAGCCAAACAATGCACAAACCCCAGATGGACCATTTTAGTGACCAAAAAACAGCTCTTTCTCCTGTTGTCCATACGTGAGGGTCTTCTTTTATGGCGCTGTATGGAGCATACACAACAGTAAGCGCCAAAGCTATTGCGGAAATCCACATTATTGCGACAAATTTCTAGGCAAAAGATAGACGATCATACAACTATATTAACGTCTGTACACATGGGGTAGGTATTTTTCTAGTTAAACCCTCCGAGTTAAGCCCTTTTCGAGTTAAGCCCCTGCCACGCCCTTTTTCGCCGGGGGCTTAACTCGAAGTCAATGAACGATTTAAGCATTCGAGTTAAGCCCCGACATTTGGTGGATGTAAACAAGTGACGCGTGTATGTATACTCGCAAAAATATTGGCAAATATATGTAAGGAGGGAGAATGTAAAATTTCAGCAATGTTAAGAAATATATTTTACTTAGATCTCTGTTGCTTTGCTTACAGTTTTATACAGACAATGTAAACAACAGCTCATTCAGGGCGGCAATTACGGCTTTAAAAACTAAATAATTTATAGCGGCACTTGCAGAACGCAAATCTCAGGCATGTGAGCTACCTTTCTAAGATATATCTTTTCTCCGAAGTAGGGGACATGAATACTACAGCGTGACATCATACTGAATTGTTTTGTTAGAAAATGGTTTTACTAGCTAGAACTTCATTCTTGATCATTCTGATTTCTGAGAATATCCAAATAGTACATAATCGTGATATTTTAGTTTCGTTTACCGTTGTTGTGATTCGGTTATTATTTGCCGTTAATGGTAATTAGTGGAAATATTTGTATCTGTTATCCACTTGTAATAGTTTGAATTTCTTCCTGTTTGTTCTCTCTTTGACGGGTTCTTGGCAGGATGAGTTACTCGCTTGTGTCATGTAAATAGTCACCGGAAAACTATAAAACAGTATACATAATATTCTAGTCTTAGATCTAGTCGTTGCCGAGCAAATCGGTTAGAAAGGTAGCTCACCTCCATATGAACATGCCTAAGATTTGCGTTCTGCAAGTGCCGCTATATATTATTAAGTTTTTAATAAAGCCGTAATTGCCGCCCTGAATGAGTATGCTATGCAGGCTATGAATGAGCTGTTGTTTACAAATCCTTATTGAACTCTCTCGTTTCACGATGTCATTGTCTGTATAAAACTGTAGGCAAAAACAGGTAGGAAATTTGTCGTCGCTGACCAAAAAATCGCGGGCAGAAACAAAGCTCATTGCATTTACATTCAAAACAAAGCAAAAAGTTAGCAAGAAGCTGTTTTAGCTGACGATTTTCCCCTTTCCATTCAACGATTTACAAATTAACGGTTATTATTTTGAAAGTCGACTATGAATTCTTTGTTTTGGGATGATTTGTTTTGTAATAGAATGATTGGAAGAAGTTAATATGGCGACGTGAACATGGCAGTAAATACCGTATACGTCGATCTGTAGCTTGTTTAAAACCGTAATGAACGAAGAAAGACGTGATATGAGAATGAAATGTAAGTTGAAATTAACTTTATATGCTTCAAATTTTCCATCATATGTTTCTTAATGTAACTTCAGCTGTCTAAGTTCAAAATACAAGCTCGCGAAATTTGACAAATTTTGAAAATATGTAAAAATAGCTTGACTTTGAACTGTATTTTCTCAAAAATGGCCCGTGGCCTCAATTTCAAATATAACTAAATGAAAAGAAAAAACTTTTCGGCGTTTGTAGGTATCAAACAAATCGTCAGGAAAATAGGGGCTCACAATGTTTTAGTTGAGTCTTTGAGACCCAGTTGCTTCGCACGTGTTGTCATTGTGGTCAAATTTTTGCCAAGAATCAAAGACCGAAATGTGAACTTCCTTCATGAAAACTGCTTCAAGAAGGGTCTAGTTTGAAAATTTAGCTATTAATTTCGATTTCATGAGCATATTTTGGTTACAGGTTAAATATTTTTGTACATGATGAGATTCAAAATTTGTTGTATATTCAAGCCCGGCTTTAGTGTAATTTTGGTGATGACCGGAACAGAAATAAAGATATTTTAAAAACTGGCCGTGGCCTCACGATAAAACTTTCTAAAAATATTCTCTGTTTCATGTATTTTTATTTGATATCTTAGGTTTAAGCGTAAAAATAGGAGCTCATACAGTTTACGAGGTTGTAAAATGCATGACTTGCCTCTATTTTCATGTAAACATTCGAAATTTGTCGACAGCAAAGTAGCAACTGTTTCAGATCGAATGCAAACGGACAGCCCACCAGAAACAATGGCAGGGTACTGAAATAGAACGTCACTAAAAAATTCTGTATTATTAATTTAGATCATGTCCATTTTCAACATAAAACAGTAATTTATTTTGTACAAACATTTGGCAATATTTACACGATTGTGCCTTTTTGTAAACACGCGTTGCGTGTATTCCACGTAATTGCGTGGCTCATTTTGCTCGCGCATGCTCAGACAAATTTCCCACCTGTTGTAGGCAAAGCAACAGAGATCTAAGTAAAATATATTTCTTAAAATTGCTGAAATTGTACATTCTCCCTCTTTACATATATTTGCCAATATTTTTGCGAGTATACATACACGCGTCACTTGTTTACATCCACCAAATGTCGGGGCTTAACTAGAATGCTTAAATCGTTAATTGACTTCGAGTTAAGCCACCGGCGACAAATGGCATGGCAGGGGCTTAACTCGAAAAGGGCTTAACTCGGAGGGCTTAACTCGAGGGGCTTAACTCGAAAAATACTTACCCCGTACAGTACATATATGTCAAGCCTTTTGATCGTGCGGGTGATATGTAATTCTTATCATGTTATCACGGCTTGCCTGTCGGGTGTAGATACTTTTTGCCGGTTGATTTTATTAGTTAGACACGGACTGTTTAAAATAATATAAATTCACCTGAAATATAAACATGCAGTCTCGTAGACACAATTACTATTTACTATATAATAATATACATAAAAATATTACTCGACTGTGATTGATTGATTTCAGTGCAGTTAATCCCAAACAGCAGTGCAATTTTCTGTGATCACAGTGCAATTTTCTGTAATCACAGTGCAATTTTTTGTAATCACAGTGCACTTTTCTGTAATCACAGTGCAAAAATCTGTAACAAACTGATCTGATTGGTCTTAAGCAGTTTAATTAAAGCAGTTTAGTTTAAAGAAGTAACAGTCACAGATTGCTTCAAAACAAAACAAACATGGCGCCGCGCTCCATAAAGTAAAAGTCGACTTGGTCTTTGCGGTTGGAAAATATTGGCTTTTATCTTTTTTTTTAAATGGAAAAGCTTTTACCCAAAAACAAGACTAACAATACATACATAGTTGAGTGAATTTTCAAGCTGTTAGCGTTGTATAATGTATATAACAAAATCAGGAAAACTTTGCCAGTGGACTGTTCGCTATTAATGTGCTCACCGTTTAATAAATATATATATATTGAGATATTTAATATAACGACACGCATAAGAACACAAGGTTTGTGGGGTTATGGAAGTGTGGGACAACTGCTCTATATATTGTATTTTTTATCTGCGAAGAGCTGGGTGCTGAGCGGTTCCCAGGGCATATACTCGTATTGAAAAGTTGGATCTTGGGGAAAGTCGATTAGGACATATACTGATTTGCAGCTGGGTCCTAATCTGCCCAAGACATATACTTTTACGGATTTAGAGCTGGGTCCTGAGTCGGCTAGAACATATACTCCATTTAGAGCTGGATCCTAGCCTGCCCTGCAAGACACATATAGTCTGAGCTGGGCCCTGGGAAAAAATGATCAGGGAAATATTTCTTAGAACACTGATCTGGCTCAGCACATATACTCATATGCAGAAATAGAATGATTTTTGTAAATGGGAATTGGCTGTATGCCAGGTTGCCAAATTCCGTAAAGAAAACGTGAGGTCTATGGTAAAAATGCGACCTCATACTAGAGCAATTGCCTCAAACACTTCATCCTTTATTTATTATTTTATTAAATACATAATAACATTGATATAACAGTCTAGTGAATGTCGATAAGCGTTTAATATCCAACGAAGATAATATTTATATATAGATCTAAATATAGTTCAATGTTCCCGAGAATTCAATATCACTCCCTAGGCGGGCCCATAACATACCGTAATTACTTCCAAGTACCATCTTGTACCATCTCGTTACATCAGGGAAAAGGCTGGAGCATGGGGTGGTTGGTGGGTGACTTTTTTTAAATCAGTCTTTACAGCTCGCAATCCAAGTAAGAATGATATAGGCAGATAAAGCTAACTCGGATATCTGCCCATGTTTAACTATAGTTTCATTGTTATAGTTATGAATAGGTCAAACATAGTGGTTTGGACAATAATTAATAAACGATACTGGGTGCAGTAGCCTACGGGTTTGGCAAGCAAATAATGAAAGTCGGTGATAGAGTCTTCCTTTGTTTAGACAATAGTAGCTTTCGAGTTGGCTTAACATAGACATTTTAAATCTATAATTTTTAGGTCTAGCGCATTGAGTATCGTCCATTAACAATAATTTGTACTCGTAAAAATTACCATTATATATAAACGTAATTTAAAACTGCAATTGTCTCGAACATTTTTATGTAAATTATTGATAAGTAATAGCATGGTCTGTCGTGAAATTTAGATGAAACATGCACTCGTGAATTTTTCAAAAACCTCAAATAGCACTCGTCCTTCGTACTCGTGCTATTTTGAGGTCTTTGAAAACTCACTCGTGCATGTTATATTCAAATTGCACTCGAAATTGTGTTTGTACAACTGAACAGACAACGGAAAATTCTGTATATTCTGTATATTTTTATATAATGACGGAATTTGAAGCAGCTATAAACATAAATTGGTGAAAGGTCTTCCGTACGTCTGCCCTATACTATCATCAGATGCTAAGTTATTGTTATAATTTGACTATACAGGCATTACAGGGTGTATAACAAAACCTGCAAAAGTTCGAAAATGTCTGCTAAACTGCAAACTCCATAAAATATGTGAAAACTTCACTAAGCATGGGTAGTTTGGGGTTTGCTAGTATCTGCAACATATAAAATTATGTTGAAAAGTAAATTTTCGAATGCAGCGGGGTTGCTTTTAAAAACCATTCTAAAATGACTTGGAAAGTGATTTACGAGCTAACAAAGCTAGTACCAGACAGTTTAATGTACATTACAACAGTTTAACTGTTTAAGTCCAACGCGCGACCCATAAAAACTTGGACTTTTTGCCATCTTAGCCGTTCACGCACAATTTATTAAACATATGACTGATTTTATGCATGATTAATTTATGCACGATTGATTTTTCACATACTCGTTACAAAAATTTAAAAAACTATGCGTGAATGGTTACTATTATGGCAAAAAAGTCCAAATTTTAGAGGTCGCGCGTTGGACTTAGATAATGTACACCAAACAGTCTGATACTTTGATAATTCATAAAACACCTTCTAAATTTGTACCCTATGAATTCAAATTAGGTTTTATATAAGCCTTCCATTTTTGCGCGCAAGCCATTTTAAAAATGGTTTTGAAAAACGTCCATCTTGCATTCGAAAGTTAACTTTTCAGAATAATTTTAGTGGCAAAGATACTAGCAGAACCCATACTTTAGCCATACTTGCATAACGCATTTATATATAAATTGTGCGGAATTTGCAATTTACCGAACATTTTCGAACTGTGTTGGGTTTTTTTATACACATTGCATAATATAAACAAACTTTGTTCATCGGAAAAGCTAAAGTTTGAAAGAACTATCATTCTCACCCATGGCAATTTGAATTCCTTTGAGAACTGTTTATAAAGAATATAACCGAGCACCATTCCCATCACATATGGTGAAATTCTGCAGTATGGTTTGATGTAAATATCTTTAAATGGTGTAAAGTATTCATCAATTCTAAAGATGTCTTTTTGTCGATTTTGCAAAAACCTGTTAAAAATTTGTACTGTTAATTAACACAATTCAATTGTTTTGTTTTATGGAAAACACTACGCTTATTTATTTGGTGAAGATGTAAATCATCGTAACAATTAAGAAGGAACTAATTCGTTCTCGATCAATCACTGACTACATTTGTTTATAATTCTGCTCTTAGCCAATCAGAATGCGTGAATTCTAGACTGGTATAAACCGGAAAAGTTTGGTAGGAAAATAGGATTTAAGGGATCGGTCATTATTTATGCCCAGGGTGGGGCCCTAAAAGAAAGTATAATGGAGCCGAAAAAGTGATTACCCCACCTTTTCTGAAACAAAATTCCTTGCTATCCCCAAGTGAAATGTTAGAAAAAAATTTTCCCCACTCAAACCTATTTTGTTGCAAAGTCAAAGGTGCAGTCATAAAATATGCAATGAAACAGTTTAGTATTTTGTATGCATATTACTCATTAATTAAGGTCCAAAATTGCCCTTGATGAATAAGATCATCCGCTGTTAGAGAGTAATTAATAAGATGGGGTGCATTGTCGACCACAGTGGTCATAACAATTAAGGCGTTTGACTTTATTGACAATAAAATTCTTGTCAGAAAATCCTAGACCTATATACCAAGGAGCATAATAGATTGAATTATAGACTTTCTATGTGATAGATTCCAAAGGGTAAAACTCGTACATGGTTGTTTCTTAGAATGAGGATATGTCCCCTCTGAGGTTCCCCAGGGAATAAAATTGGGGCCCTGGCTTTTAATTATGATGAATGATATTTGTCTGTAAACAGGACCAATTTGTGAAAATAGGTAGACGATACTACGACATCCGAGGTAATCGACACGAATCAGTTAAGTAAAGCAGAATTATTTACTGATGATATCGTACAACGGTCGAAACTGAACATTGATAAATGCAAAGAACTTCGCATTTCTTTTGGAAAAAGTGCTCGTAAATTCAGCCCAGTAATAATTGAAGATAAAGGTGTGGAGGTTGTAGAGTCAACAACAGTTTGACTGCACTCAACAATAAATTAACATGGAATCCACATATATTGAAGAAATTATTACGAATTCGAAAATGTCGAAAAGAATATACTATTTAGTTCAACTAAAATGTGCTAATATTCAACTAAAGGATCTTGTCTTGTATTCTATGTTACATGCCTTAACTCCGTTATCGATTATGGGGCTGCGCGCGGTGTTTCACCATTCCGTAGCAAAATATCTAGGTAACAAATTGGAAAAGTTGCAGAGATTAAAGATCAATCAAGATAATTTACCCGAGCTTGAAATATGAAGAAGCACTAAATATTTGCGGCGTAGCAACTTAGTCGGACCACCACGAGGGCATATGCACAAGACTATTTCAAACAATAGTCACTGACGACTACCATGTGCTTCGATTACTCTTATCAGCCACAATTTCTTCGATTTATAACTTAAGAAATGAAAGGCAATTTGAAATTCTTATTTGTAGAACAGAAAGCTTTTTAAATAGTTTTTTTATGTGGCTTCATGTAAATAGCACTCAACCTTTCCCCTTATGAGTGAAATTTTGATCTAGACAAGCCTGGACAAAAATTTCATCACAGCTTGAAAGAGCATCACAAAATTAGTAATATTCCGAAGTTTCGTTGCGAAAAGTTGTAAAATGCGGATAATATAGCCTTGCGAAGTTTGACGTTTTTCAGTCATTTTGCATTACAAACGGGAAATTGATAATCACATGATCAAACTGATTATCAATTTCCCATTTGTAATACAAAATGACTGAAAAAAGGCAATTGCTAATGAAACTGGTACCAAACTGGATCTATGGCACCAAAGAATGGCGCATTTAAATTCCGGTCAAATGAAAATCATGGCTTCAAAGGAACTTATCACAGGTACGGACATACTTGGAACAGGCAAGTTAAGTTTTTGCGAGGCCTGTGCGGAAGGAAAGGCTCACCGAGCGCCATTTAAGCCAGTGGAAGAAATTAAGTCAACGAGAAGGTTAGAGTTGGTCCATAGTGATGTTGCCGGATCGATGAAGGCCGAAAGCTTTGTAGGTGCAAAGTACTTTGTCACCTTCATCGATGACTACTCCAGATGTGTCACTGTTTACCCAATGAAGTATAAGTCTGAAGTGTTGGAAAAATTCTAGGAGTGGGAGGCAGCCGTGACAAACCAGGCAGAATGCAAGATTAAGACACTACGGACAGACAATGGTGGTGAATATACATCCACCGAGTTCCAAGATTTTCTAAAGGAGAAAGGAATTCGCCATGAGACTACAGTGCCACATTCACCCCAGCAGAATGGGGTAGCTGAACGCATGAACCGAACACTTCAAGAAGCAGCTTTCTCTATGATTCTGCATGCTGGACTGTCCAAAGCTTTCTGGGCAGAAGCAGTTTGCAATGCGGCCTATGTAAGAAACCGAGTCATCACGGCTGCGACCGCGGTAACCCCTAACCCGAGAGCGGACGTGTATTTGGTTGCTCCTCAATTCAAATATTTTGTAATATAATCCCACGTTATCCTGTTGTAATTATTATCAAACAAATGGGAGACCTTCAGCTGTGCTGGATGGGAGATTTTAAACAACTGAAGCAGTTTATAAACGAAAATATTGAGCTAAATGCTGTATGGAATTCACCAGGTGGAGACAAGAAAACATACAGTGACGGCCACACTTCAATATCGTGGCGGAAAAACAAGAAAGTTTTGCAAATAGAGGGTAAAGAGAAGAACCTGATTAAATCTAAGTTATGTTCAGTGTTATGCAATGTAGATTCTCATATCCTGGCAAAGGAATCCGTTGCTACAGACGAGGGAAGCGGAAATTCCTCCCTGACATTATCTGGGCTGTCTGCTGATATGGAAGGCATAAAACTCGATACCGTGATTTGTGAAAGAGAGATTGAAACCAACAGACATACTATTAGAAATCTCGAAGACCGCCTTAATAAAGTAAGTGGCAACTTCGAAGAAGTTAGTAATAAACTTGATAATATGAAAGAACTATATTTTCCACATAACCAACATGTGTCTCAATCTGCCCCATTATTTGAATATTCTAATTTGCTGGAAAAAGATCTCCCACGGCCAAAAACTCTTTGTTATGATAAATCGACCAGTACAAAAGATTTAATCGTAAACAATCAGAATCAGATTACCAGGGTGCGATAATTCAATATTTTTAGCCGTACCTGACTGGTACTCCGACAATTTTTGCCGCGTACCTGGTCTGGTACAAACTTAAGAGTCAAGACGTACCTAAGACTACTTCCGATCGAGTCATGCGTTTTTATGTCTACGTATAGTTTACTGGTCCAAAATAATATAACAGTTTTCAATAATAATATAATATATAGTTATATAATATATAGTTTTCAAAGCGTCGACGTTGTGACACGGATGCCATCGCTCATTTACAGTGGATTTACCGAGGGTGCTAACAGTCTGACCTCAGCTACATATAGTGTAGTTTTCCTCATTGAGCCAAAAAAAACCTGTGGTTCCGGTTTCATATCGCGAAAAAATTAGGGTAGCTAGTTCGGAAATAAAAATTTTTTGAATATTTTTTTCATGGTTTTGGCGGGTTTTTTTTTGCTGGGCGATTTTCGGTAGAGTCCCGACATCAATATTAACTAGAGATGCGTAGTTCCTACGGACGAATTTAGGCAATTTGGTTCAATAATTATCATGTGACATCAGACGCCATTTTGGCACGCTGTACGAGCAGCCCGCAACCACCCGGAGAAAATAGTGTCGCACGGTGAATCGTGTTGAAAAAAGTAATAAGGTGGGCAGAAAAAATAGGGTCGGTCGGGAAACCGAAACCACAGGTATTTATTTTTAGGCCTTGGTATAGCATTGACAGTTAAGCCCAGGTCACACCACACAACGATAATGATACGATAACTTGTACTGCAACGAAAACGATAAAATTATCGGCGTTTGACGATAACGATTTCAAAATCGTTCACCCGAGCGATTTTTTTTCAGTTGGATGATGACGATAAATTTTTTTATCAAGCGCATAGATAACCTTTCTGCTTTTTTCATCCCAAAATATGTCGGATTCGTGGAATTTACATGTACAGACAGCTAAAGTACGTTCTTCACGGTTTTGAATACTTTGGCAGGTTTGCTAGTTATTGCTAGAAGGAAAATGTAAGTACGCGAATAGCAAATTTTCGCGTACCTACGTGGTACTTGCCTAAAAACAAAGAAGTACCAGACCATAAATTTGGCGTACCTCCGGTACGTTGGTACGCGAATTATCGCACCCTGATTACTGTTGATGAATTACATCTTTCCCCAACGGGTTTAGTACCCATGTCAACATATACAAGCGTGAATAGTACGTGTGCAGTACAAATATTAAAACCGTCGAAGCATGCAATTGTAAACCACAGTGAAAAACAGATTAATCAGTCATCTGCGACTAATACCTTTGTTTCGAATTTAATCCCAAGAACAGTTACTAATTCAACTTATTCAAATGAATTTAAAAGAAGACAGAACTTCTGTTTTAACTTATTAAACAAGGGCGGCCCGACTGAAGAAGGCTGCCACAACAACAATAATAATCCACCTCGAGTGCAATGTAAGGATCTGCATAAACAAGACATTAACCAAGCTATCCCCACACGCATTACCTATCGTATTCCATCTAAGGTTAGAGCAAATCGTCAACAGGGTTTTCGGCCGAGTTATGCACGCCGACGGGCAGACTGGATACAGCACCTGGATTTGGTGCACCGTATACTGAATCCTTTAATGGAAATCGCAACCCCTGTATGGCCACAACATCCTACCTACCCCCCTTTACCACGATCACAACCCCAGGGTTCCCTGTCACCAAAACGCTAGAGATAACTCCAACATCTTATAATATCCCTGTGGTTCAACGAAATCGCAAAAATTTTGTTAGAGATCCTGTTAAGTCGAAATGCCGTAGCCACGTAAAGTTTAATTGTATTGAAATTAACACGCACCAAGTAAAGAAATGCCCTCTCCCTTCCCTCCTTGTGTCAAATGTCTGTCACATCACAAATAAGGTGACTGAACTATCTGCTGTTATTTCCAATAACAAATCAACAATAAATTTGATAGTAGAATCATGGTTAACAGACGACGTTCGCAATAGCTTTATAAATATTGGCGATAACTATCTTATTTTTCGTCTTGATCGACCAACACCCGGGGGTGGAGTTTTAGCGTACATCGATAAATCGGTACCAGTATCTCGTCTGCCAAATCTTGAAGAAGCTGGAAAAGAGGTACTTTGGCTGCTCCTTAAACCCCACCGCTCACCGAGACCCTTTAGTGCTATCATTGTGGTCACCGTTTATTATCCACCGGGGCAGTCTGTTGAGAAAGAACATGAAATGATAAGCTACCTCACAGATGGTCTGGACAAGGTCCTTCAATCTCGTCCTTCGACAGGAATAATTATCGCTGGGGATTTTAACAAATTGAATTTAAGACGCCTATGTAACCGCTTTAACCTAAAAAAAATGGTCTCGACCCCCACAAGAGGTAATAACATCCTAGACCAGATTTTGACCAACATGGCTGACCTCTATTTACCTGCCAAACATCTACCTCCCTTGGGTCGTTCTGACCACCAATGTTTGCTGTTATCCCCCCAAAATGTCAACAAACTTCCCCCTACTACATAAACCCGAAAACAAACAAACATTGAGTAGAACTGTTGCCCTCCAAAACTGGGATAATGTTTTAATGGCAACAGATGTGGATGATAAAGTCGAAGAAGCATTTAATAGAACGATACTCTCTTTGCTAGACAAGGCTATGCCAGAAGTGACAATCCGAATGCATACATCAGATAAACCTTGGATTACCCCAAAAATAAAGGCACAGATTAAAGCTAGGCAAAAGGCTTACTGCCGTGGTGATAAACCCAAGTACGACCAATTATGTAAAAAGGTCTCAAAGTTAATTCGGAATGCAAAACAATCTTTTTATCATACCGAAGGGAGAGATCTTCGCCAAAAAGATCCTGCAAAATGGTATAAAACTGTCTATACTCTTTTGGGTGCTGAAACGAATCGTAACTCTTTACAAACTCCATCTAATGAAGATCTGTCAAAGGTTGCTGAAAACCTACAAACTGCTTTTACAAACCCATGGAAAGATATCAATGTTGACCTCCCGGACATAAATGAAGTTAAGAAAGCAACAGGGATAGATAAAATCCCTGCCTGGTTTTTAAAGCACTACTGTGATGATCTTACGCCAGCGATACATAGTATCATAACAGGCAGCATTACCCAATCCAAGTATCCTACTGCGTACAAGCATGCAATTGTAACTCCGGTACCAAAGATACATCAACCCAAAGATATAAACAACGATTTCAAGCAAATTTCTGTGCTTCCTCATCTAGCTAAAATGATAGAGAAAATCCAGTTGGAACTCAACTCTCATGATTTGGCAATAAAGGACAACCAACATGCTTTCGTTAAAAATCGATCTACTGTTTCAGCCCTGATCTCGATGACCCAGAAGTGGTTTGATGTAACAGATAACTCCACTATTGGAAGAAAAGGGGTCCATACTACGTTTTTGGACTTCAAAAAAGCTTTCGACCTTGTCGACCATAGAATTCTATTAATAAAATTAGCGGAAATGAATGTATCAAAGGCCTTCTGGTCGTGGGTGAAGTGTTTCCTTACAGAGCGGACTCAACATGTGAATTTACATGGTGTTATATCCTCAAGCACCCCCTGTCCAGCTGGAGTCCCGCAAGGCTCCGTTATTTCCCCAACACTGTTGAATATTCATATTAATGATTTGGAAAACACGTTAACAAACAACTTTACAAACACGCACAAGTATGCAGACGACTGCACTCTTGATGAGGTCGTTGCAAACGGAGCCCTTTCAAATATGCAGGAATCGACTAATCAAGTGATGAATTGGGCCAATGATAATAAAATGGTGGTGAATCCCCAAAAAACTAAGGACATGTGGATCAGTTTTTCCCAATCCTCTCCTGAACCCCCACCTATACAAACGGATGGAATTGAAATAGAAAGAGTAAACTCCTTCAAACTTCTCGGTGTATGGGTGCAAAATGATTTAAAGTGGAATACTCATGTTTGTAAAATAACAAAAAGAGCAAATAAGCTATTATTCCTTCTCAGAGAGTGTAGGAAATCCTTCCTACCACCCGAGATTGGTTTATTAACATATACGTCGAAGATCCGGCCAATACTTGAATACGCCTCTCCAGTCTGGGGTGGAATCCCTAAATATCTTGAAGTAGAAATTGAACGTGTTCAACAAAGAAGCTTGAGAATCCTAGGATTGGAGAAAGATACCCTCCCTACACTAAAAGAAAGAAGGGACAAGGCAACATGCAACGAGCTGAAAAGGATTGTGGAAGTCCCAAACAACGCATGTAATCGTTTCCTATCTGGTAATAAGAATCCCACTTACGAACTGAGAAGAACCAGAGACAGCACTCCAAGACAGCTCTCAAAAACACACGGGCATAGTACGTCTTTTATCCCAAGGGCGTGTAGATTAACCAACTCATGAAATTAGATCATTGTACATATGTATATAAAACCTTTTAAACTTTCTAAGTCTTACACTCTCATAGGTTATATATGTATTTTAGTATAATATTTTTAACTTGTAAATCCATTGTATTTCTATATGCCAAAGATGGATATCTAATAATAAAATTGGAAAATAAAATTGGAAAATTGGAAAATGGTATGGAAAGAAGCCAGATGTGTCTAATCTTCGTGTCTTTGGCTGTACTGCATGCTTACGCTCATGTTCCTGATGCTTCACGCCAGAAACTTGACCAAAAGGCAGTCAAGATGAGATTTGTCAGCTACAGCCTTACACAGAAAGGATACAGGCTATATGATGAGAATCGACAAAGAATCTTCAATCGCAGAGATATAACCTTTAATGAAACAGACTTCGGGTCTACAAAAGTTCAAATGAAGTGCGACGAAGGCAGTACTGAATGCGCTGAAAAATAAATGGAATTAAAGGACAAAGATGAGATAAACGTGGCTGAACAGCAAGATCTCCCAACGAATCCTCGACGCTCAGGACGAGAGCGAAATCCAACGTAACGACGAGCATGCTACAATCACTACAGCGAAATATGCAGCACTTTATGTAGCTGAAATCGAAGCGCCAGAAACGATAAAGGACGCTCTTGACAGTAAATATGCAACACAGTGGAAAGCAGGCGCAGATACTGAGTACCAGTCTTTGTTAGAGAATGAAACTTGGGAGTTAGTTGAACTGCCAGTGGGTTTTCAAAGTCAAGCACGATGAGACAGGAAAGGTAGAAAGATTTATAGGTCTTCTGGTGGCTAAAGTTTTCCTGCAAAAATACGGAATTGACTATGATGAAACATTCTCTCCGGTGGTTCGTTTTTCGTTAATCCGTGCTCTTCTGGCTTTTGGTGTTTCTCGACAAATACTGATCCATCAAATGGATGTAGTAACGGCATTCCTAAACGGTACTTTGGACAAGGAAATATATATGCAACAGCCCGAAGGCTATGGAGAACCAGGAAAAGAAGGACTAGTGTGTCGCCTCAAAAAATCGCTTTATGGCCTAAAGCAAAGCCCACGCTGTTGGAATAACGTCTTCAAAGAATTTATGTTATCACTGGGATTTGTTCAGATTGTTGCAGATCCATGTGTATTCATTCGTGTCCTCAAGGATAAGCTGACGATTGTCACTGTTCATGTTGTTGACCTGATACTTTTAACAGATACTGAAAAAGAGATGATCGATCTCAAGACCAGTCTGGCAAACTACTTCAAGATGAAGGATATGAGTGTACTCCACTACTGTCTAGGAGTTAGTGTCACTACAAAGGACGGTGTATTGCAAATCAGTCAAGAACAGTACATCAATAAGATTATGCGAAAGTACAAATTACAAGATTGCAAAACGGTGTCAACGCCAATGGATCTTAACGTAAAACTAGTTAAGGACGATGGATATAGCAAACCAGTGGATGTCGTTCAGTACCAGTCAATGGTAGGGCGTTTGATATACGCTGTGATAGCTATTCGTCCAGACATAGCCTACGCAGTGGCAACATTGGCTAAATTCAACTCATCACCGACCGAGGGGCATCTAACAGCAGTCAAGCGCGTTTTTCGGTATTTGAAAGGAACTGCTAAGCTACGCCTGCGGTACCAAGAAACCGATGTTAATGTAGAGGGATACTCTGACGCAGATTGGGCTTCTGACTCAGATGATCGACGATCAACCTCCGGAAACGTATTTGCGATGTCGGGTGGTGCCATCAGTTGGACAAGCAAGAAACAACCAACAGTGGCTCTTTCAACGCCGGAATCAGAATACATTGCACTATGTTTTGCAACCCAAGAAGCAGTATGGCTGAGACAACTGATGAAAGGTCGACAGATGGATTGTACCACAGCGACGACCATATATGAAGATAAGCAAGGTATTATCGCGATGTCAAGGAACCCAGTGCTACACAAGTGGACGAAGCACATTGACATCAAATATCATTTCGTTCGGGAGAAATATCAAGATGGGACAATTGAGCTGAAGTACTGTCCAACCAATTAATGAAATGGTAGCGTATATCTTGACAAAGCCACTATCCAAAGGACAATTTGAGTATCTGCGATTCAGAAAACGCAGGAAATTCAGTCTTAGGGATTAGAAAAATACAAAAATTTTCTGAGGAGAATGCTCCCAGACCCCCCTATACTATTACATACGACACCACACCAAACTTTTTGTCACAAACAACCATTTATCATTTCTCCACTGACGCTCAGTAATAATAATAATAGTATATTATTATTTGGCAACTCGCTTGATAGATCTGAACGAAGATGCATGGGAATTTTCGGACAAAAAAATTATAATGATATATTACACCTAACCGGGGCCATTTGCGCAAAGAATGTACTTTATAGGCCCTCAGGCAGGAATTGAACCTGCAATTCCGGTTGCGCTCTCACCACTGAGCTACAGAATCCAGTTACCTGGATTAGGTATATATGGGTGAACATCAAGATTTTGGGGCATCTCGGTCGATAGAACTGATGACAGAACAAACATATGGGAATATATGCATGCATGCGTGAAATACTGGATATACTAGAAATATATGCATGCATGCGTGTTACGGCAATCTGTATCTCCCTCAGCATCATCCTCAGACATGAATATGGGTTTTAGCCTGCGAATTGCATGGTAGTTCGATAAACATTTCCCGATCAACCCGATTCATTAGCGACGCCTACGGAGGAGGCTATGGCTCCCTTTATTTGATAGCAACAATATAGTGTACCATAAATATTAATTTACTAATATGTTTACTAGCGGTAAGTTCCAGCATCAAATTTTTAGAAAAATGTGTATTTCACCTAATTGGCGATCCGGAATATTAGTCGAAGTATCTATTCGATTAGATCTCTTATATCGATTAGATCTCTTATAATTAGTCGAAGTTAGGAATGTGTTCGATAAATTTGTGGTTTCGAAAGAGATATCTCTATCGACGTCTAATTTCCTCTTTAGACATGCACATTCTTCTATTTTAAAATGAAAAAAAAAGTTAACTTAAAATTTCACCCAAAAGCCACCTGATTCCTTACGTTTATGCCAGTATAGGGTACATGCATGGGTAACAGGACCTTCGGAAGCGGGGTGGTTAGGGCCTTCCCCTATGACTTCCTCATCCGGGATTGTACTTCACTTTATTTCTTTCTTGCATAGACAATTACAATCCACTAATTTCTAATAGTCTCTTGTTACATTGATATCGTGTATACATCAATACAACAAAACCAATTCATTTACACAGAGCGATGAGATGAGTTTGGATGAAGTGCATTACAAAATCGTGATTTATTAAAAACAAATGCGCACTGATTGATCATAAACGAAACTCTTGTTTTGCATGCATGTCAATTGTATTAATGTTTGCGTGACATGATAATTGGCCTGCACCTGAGCACAAATATGCCTCATATTCAGTCGCGCCCAGCCTCGTACCCATGCGCAAATAACGTACTAAAAATAGCAACACTACAGTATTTTTATATAGATCAGTGGCTAAGATAAGCGAGCACGCGGGGGTGCTTGGGGAGGACCCGCGCGCTCGCTCATTTTAGCCACTGATCTATATAAAAACACTGCAGTGCTATTTTTAGTACGTTATTTGCCCCTGGGTACGAGGCTGAGTCGCGCCCGTTTGTTTGTCGTACGCCATCAGACAAATTATGACTCGACAAGAAAAGTTTGCCTTAAATTATAATAACTAATAAGAGTTAATTAAATTGGATGATTTTAAAAATAAACCTGCGTCTAGCACTGTCATGGAGTACAATATCTTAATCGATTTATTTTGTTTCCATATTATATGGTGCAGTTTCTTTTAAAATAGTACATTGTAAGAAAGTACTGTATGTGCTATTTAAGTCCAACACGAAACATGCGTACGTTTCGAAAGAAAGTTTAAGCAGATATTGAGCTTTTTACATTGTGTAATTCTTGCTATTTTTGAATTGGCTAATTGTTGAATTTATATTACCACATGATGCGAATAAATTGATCGATCGGATGGCTATGAATTAAGGCTTCCCTTACTGAAATATCACTTACATATTTAACCTGAAAATTGGGAAAACCATAGGCAAAGCGTCATCGTTTGCAGCTAAGCAGGCAGTCACGATTATACTAGCAAGAATAGTAACGCCAACACTGCAAACTAGAGGACGAAGTCCGTACCTGCAATAAATGTCGACTAAATATGAATTGCATATAGATATATTTATTGTCATCGAGTAAACATATACTTTTAATTAAAGTTTTGACAGAGACTTGACGCCGGTACCCGGACATTTTTCCAAAAGACACTTTGTCGGAAGACACTTCCCCGAAAGACATTTTGCCGAACGGACATTTTGCCGACAGACATTTTGTCGAACGGACATTTTGCCGAACGGATCGACATTTTGACGAACGGACTTTCCGCCGAAAAAACATTTTGCCGAATGGACTATTTGCCGAAAATAGACTATTATTTCGTCAAAATATTAAACATCCGCGTTCGCCCACATTCGGTTTATCAAATTGTTTGGAACATCATTAGCAGTGCATAACATGCATATCGATAGTTTGTGCAGCGGATGACTCATCTGTTAGGAACGTGTTTTGACGTCGGGTCGTAAACAAACAAGCGTATAAAAAGGCAGCGGTGTAAGCAAATTTCATTTCGAGAATCATGGTCATGAAACACATTTGCAGTTCTGGGGGAAATCGCAAATTTGCAAATTGCAGTGATGCTCTGGCAGACACTCGACTCTAGCGGAAACCTTATGGCAGCAGCCATCATGCAGAGCATATTCGCATCCACCTGATTCATCTTGCGTGGCTGCCCAAAGTGTAGCTAGTGCATGTCAGCATTGCAACATCGTGCCGGTTATAAGCTTTTTATGTACGATAATATATTATGCTTTTTATGAAATATATGCCGTACATAATAAACGTTTACCTTAACCTTCATGAATCATGTTATTTTCAGCTGTAAATATAAAACGAAACGTGTTTACTGTCAAAGTTTCTATCATCAAAGTTAACAATGACTTTTATCAAAGACTTTAATCACAGAAACTTTCATTGATAGTGCATAAGCGAACCTTTACGGTTCAGAAAATATCTCTATTTTCGGCAGATTTTCCGTTTGGCAAAATGTCTTTTCGGCAAAAATTCCGTTCGCCAAAATGTCCGTTCGGCAAAATATCTTTCGGCAAAGTGTCTTTCGGTAAAAATGTTCGGCCACCGACTTGACCAGGGACCGGTTCTCCAAAAGCCGATTATCTTTATTCCGGGTTAACGAAAAACTTCAAAGCAATAAATTATTCCAAACAGTTCGTTTATAAATATGCAGTATCTCCAGAAATCTTGTTGAGATCAACAGAAGTTTTATTTTCTTAAATTTGAAATAAGCGGACATGTAGAAATACAAAACCGAAACAGCTGACGTTAACATTTCAGGATTAGCGCTAATCCAGCTTTGAACAACCGGCCCTGGTTGTGTGCAGGAGTAGCATGCAAAATTAGGTATAATATTATATGGATATCAATTTTTAACTATATCGTCTACTATATATCGACATGCGTGTCGGTATTATTTTTTACGTCCTTTGGAACCAACTATACCTGTATGCAATGAGAAGAAAAATGGAAGATATGATAAACATTTGCATATCAGCTGCCAAGTACCACGTGTGTCCCATACACATCTATATAGGAGGAATAAATTTAAGAAATCACTAGCATGGTAAAAATATTCCTATTGGAGAACTGTTATATATTGTGCATTTCGTAACTGCTTTTAGTTTGGTCTTGCACTTATATATAGGTTGGATTTTCAGATACAAAAACAGAAAATCTATAACTGATCTCATCGTTACATGCGCTGTATAGGGAAATGAAGCTCATTTAATATCATTATGGGATCTAGTTACATTTTACCTTCTACGCAACGGCGGTCAGTATATGGCAAGGAAAGTGGTTTGCAAAGTTAATGTCGTGCAAAGTTTGAACTTTCTACACAGAAATGTCTATCTATATGCAAAATCTATTTTGTTTCATACATAAAATTACACCACAAAATTATAGTCATTACATAATTTTAGATTACAAGAGTACGTCACAATTCAATTGCGAAGAAGAGACACCTTCTACTAAAGTCTGCAATCGCCTATTGCTTACCTTAGGCACCTTGTTACCAAGTTCAAAAAAATTATTCAGATACAGTAGATTGGTCCACCACTTTTCGGAACATGCAGAGGTATCAGCTGCTGCAAACCATATTGGACCAGCACCAAAGAATGGCCGCAACTTTGTAACAAATAATATGCAAAACATATATGTTGGAGTCAGCCTTAAATAGATGAAAAATAACAAATACCAAAATATTTAAATTGTTGGAAGCTATATATTATGTATAGGTAATCGTATAGGTAATCGCAAGTGAAATTAAACCGGCTTAATTTTACGAGGAACTATGCGATCACTTGTTAATCATAGAGGGCAAAATTTATTCGTAAGTTAATTGTGAACTTGTCAAGTTCTTGAACCTCGTATGTCTCCATGTCTTCGCCTTTTCGCCGATGTTCCTTAATGCTGCCCTGCCTGCCTATTTCTTAAATACTCCAACCAATAAATTTGTACTTTTTCTAGTGTTCAAGTTTTCACTTGAAGTTTTTAATTCTTCAATAACATCACGATTATCCGCGACGACAAAGCGAGAAGCCATTGTTTTTTATTTGCTATTTAAAAGTACTTCCCGCGCTTGCGTCTCAGCCAATCAGGTACAAGTAATTTTGCCCTGAATTAAGAAAAAATGCTCTCCTCATTAGCCAATCATATTTGAGTAATTTTGCCTTCTATATGATTATATATGTAATAATATACATAAAGATATTACTCGACTGTGATTGGTTGATTTCAGTGCAGTTAATCCCAAACAGCAGTGCAATTTTCTGTAATCACAGTGCAATTTTCTGTAATCACAGTGCAATTTTCTGTAATCACAGTGCAATTTTTTGTAATCACAGTGCAATTTTTTGTAATCACAGTGCAATTTTCTGTAATCACAGTGCAAAAATCTGTAACAAACTGATCTGATTGGTGGAAAAACATTGTGATGATTAAATCAACCAATCAGTTTAAAGCAATTTAGTTTAAAGAAGTAACGGTCACACATTGCTTCAAAACAAAACAAACATGGCGCCGCGCTACAGTAAAGTAAAAGTTCGCGTGAAAAATATGGCTTTTATCTTTAGTTTTAAATGGAAAAGCATTGACCTTAAATAAGACTATAGCTAACAAAAATTACATAGTTGAGTGGAATTTTCAAGCTGTTAGTGTTGTATAATGTGATATAACAAAGCTAAGAAAACTTTGCCGGTGGAATTTTCGCTATAAACGCGTAAGTTAAAACTACAATTGTCTCGAACATTTTTATGTAAATTATTAATAAGTAATAGCATGGTTTCTCCTGAAATTTGGATAAACATGCACTTGTGCATGTTATATCCAAATTGCACTCGAAACCATGCTATTACAATACAATAAATACAATACAATAAAGGTTTATTCACAATGAAACTGAAGCATGCAATTACAGTGACAGAGGAAAAGGAAAGTTTGAGGTTATCCCTATATTAAACTTCCTTAAATAAAATAATTGTTAAAAATTACTAATTAAAATTACAATTACAAATATATGAATAAATTAGATCCTTAAATAGTCCTTCAGGGCTTTTTTGAACGCTGAAAAGTTATTAGCCTCTAAAACGTATTTTGGCAAAGCGTTCCACAAGCCGATAGTCCTTACAAAAAAGGAGTATTTGTAACAGTTCACTCTACTTGCCTTAACACATAGTTTATACGCGTGATTTGCTCTAGTTGACTTTACTCTAGACCATTCGAAAAAGTCCAAGAAATTTAGCTTGCATAGCCCAAAGACAATTTTGTAACATTCAAGTAATGATAAATAATCCCTCCGTAAGGAGAGTGTTGTCCACCCCAGGATCTGGCATCTTTCTTCGTACGACATCTCACCTCTCTTTTGACGCAAAGCAAGCCTGGATGCTCGTCTTTGTACTTTTTCAATTGCATGAATGTCCTTAACAAGATATGGGTTCCAAACAGGTGCAGCATATTCAAGGATGGGTCTAACAAGAGCAATATATAACATCGAGAAAACCTTCGTGTTTGCTGTACCAACTGATCGTTTAATAGTTCCTAGAATTTTGTTTGCTTTATTAACTGTGATACAAACATGTTTACTCCATGTTAGGTCACGCGAAACAGTGACTCCAAGATCTTTAAAGCTTTCTGTATCTCTCAAGATTGATGTTCCTAAAGTATAACTTGATTTTAGCATATCATTGGAGTGGGTTAACCGCATAGTTTCGCACTTTTCCACGTTAAATTTTAATTGCCATGTGTGTGCCCATTCATCGAGACTGTTTAAGTCGTTTTGCAAAATATGCGTGTCCAAGACAGGATCTTTTATTTCTCTATAAATTTTAGTGTCATCGGCATACAGTTTGGCTTTAGATAAAATACAGTCCGTTATATCATTAATGTATATTAAAAACAAAATTGGTCCAAGTATTGTACCTTGAGGAGTGCCTGAAGACACTGGTGACCATTCCGAAAAGGTACCTCTAATTACAACACGTTGCTTCCTGCCTGTAATGAAATGCCTAAACCATGTCAATAAACTCCCTTCGATACCATAACTTCTTAACTTCAAAATCAATCTTTCGTGCGGCACACTATCGAACGCCTTTGCGAGGTCAAGAAAAATAACATCAGTGGGCACGCCAGAGTTTCTAGATCTCACCCAGTCATCAACAGTTGATAGTAGTTGTGTTACTGTTGACTTGCCTTTCAAATAGGCAAACTGATTCTCACTCAAAATATTCATTCTATACCAGAAATCGAGAACTCTACTTCGAACAACTTTCTCACCTATTTTGCATATAATCCCTGTAAGAGATATCTGACGATAGTTTTCTCTACTATTCTGCGAACCTTTTTTAAAAATCGGTGTAATGTTGGCAGTTTTCCACTCTATAGGTAGCATGCAGTTATTTAGCAAAAGTGAGATTGAAGGTGCCAGCTCTGTTGCACATACCTTTAGAATACGTGCAGGGATATTGTCAGGATCAAATAAAATACTATATTAATAATAAAATACTATACTAATCGAAAAAAATTATTACATAATGAAAATATATATATTTACTTTTTATTGCCGAAAATAAGGTATTGTGATTGCATGAGGAATCGTTCAGAACTGACCGGTTTTTGTTATCCGGCCCGCTCCGCGGTTTTCGCTCCAAAAACCGAGGGATGACACAATTTTTAAACTCAAAAGTTTAAAAAACTTAACCTATCGTTGGTCAGAATACGAAAATGAATTGCATAATATTAATTATGCGGAATATTCACTAACGTTTAGATATGAGATTAAATTGCAGTGGATTAGATATGGAAACACCAATGCAAATATAAAAAATAATTTCGGCCTGCGAAATGTCGTTGCATATTTGATGATTTTTTCATACCAGAATGCTCCTGCACTTCATGTTAATTTAAAATTCATCAATAACAATTCCAAGAAATGTGGTGTTTTTTATTTGTTTTTCTCCGAGCCAACGGCGCGGAGCGCCGTTCCAGCTGTAAACCCGGGGTGAGGGTCCGGAGAAACGAAAGCATTAGCGAAGTCTAAAGTTCATCAATGATCGCGGGCGTGGGTCACCAACGGTGTTGAGTACGTGGTGGTCATCCTCACTGATCTCAAAATATGTGGCGGACTGTCATGAATAGCGAACACTGATTGGTCAAATTTAAAATTTGTTGTTGTGATTGATTTGATGACAAATGACGACAGCGAAATAACGAACATTTCTTGCAAATCAGCAAATATATTGTATTTTTGCAAGATTTTGCAAATTTCAAAACCTTTTGAGAGCCAAAAACCGTCTAAGAACGTCTCAAAAGAACGGAACAAAGTCGCCGACGTTAATGAAGGTAAGTTTGTTTTTAATATAATATATTGTTTGCTTTATAATTTCTTTAAAAACTGATACGATGGTTGCGTATATAAGGGACCGGTCATAAAGTAATTACTAGAGGCCTAGGGGGTGGAGGATAAATGACATTTCAAGTACATATTTCCATACCCTCCCAAAAAACCTGTGGAAAAATATTCGTAACCCCCTTCGATGTAAGTGAAAATTTTCATACTCCCCGTTCTATCATTAATTCTGTTTTAACATTTATCTTGCGTTTATCTATGTTTCGAAACTCTGACTCCAGTTTGTGATAACTCTCCCACTTCTTGTAGTAGTAAACATATCCTCAACATTTTCCGCAGTCTCCGATTCGTCACCAGTCTTTTCTGTCCTGACATACAGTACTAGCGATGGGCTGAGGGTAAGATCAAATTGCTTCCATTCAATGTGACACTTCCTCATCAGGTTGATCAAGTTCTAATACCGGCGTGAGCTTGCTAGCATTGACAATTCAGGTGTATCAGATTTGTACTCCAAAAATTCAACGGATACTGAATCTTACTTATCATCTGACATTGAGTCAGAATAAAACATATACCTTGTGTTGATTTAATAATTATAGTAAACAATTCTTCCCAAACTTAAATCTGGGCACAAATACATTCAATATTCAACACTAGTTATAAAATGTAATTTTTTTCCGTACCTATGATAGTACTAAGATTTTGATACCCCTTAGAGCTTCTGTTGTTTTTTTCGTTCCTCCTCTGAGGTTCTCTTTTTTTTTGTACCCCCCTCCCCCCAAAAAAAAAATATCCTCCACACCCACTAGTAAATACTTTATGACTGGTCCCTAAGTGAAAAAAGACAGCATATATTTTAAGTGTGTTTTTACTAATTACCCTTTTTTGTATATTGAATATTTGAATAAAGAGGAAAGCAAAGTTATTTTCATGCAAGAATTTGAAATTAGTTTATTTCAATTTTGAAACTCAGTGTTTGCCTGCATGATAAAAGGCAGTTTAGTTTTAAGAATATTTTGAAACGTTTTGCGAAGCGTTTATGGTTGATTTTTACATTAAATTGAAACTCATATTACGTATAATAACATACCTAGCATATATATGTTTGGGAAATTGATTTTGTAATTAAAAGTGATATTTTGGGGGCGATTTTTCAATTTTAAAACTATTCTTAAAATTATCATGTTACCATGACAATACTTCATGTTTGGGAAACATAATAGTTTTGTCCGAGCAAGGCGAGGGTTTCTGCATGCATGTATTTTCTGTTATTTCATTATTTATTGGAATATTAAAATCATATTTAATTTTCCTTTTTTGAATTTTGTTCTAAAAAGAACAAATTTGTTTTTTCCCATCACTACAGTAGTTTATTTAAACAATCAACCAATCTGTAATTTTATGCACCTCAATCCAAATAATTTTAATTAATGAGTTTTAATAAAGACATGTACGGCTGTATATATGAAGGAATATGCAATTTATTCGACGGCTCCAGCTTGTGAAGCCGTACAGTTGAAAAACTATAAAGTACAATTAAAGACTGATAAATATATTCATTCGAGACTCCGAAAGATATGTATTATTTAAAACTCGAGCAGGAGTGCTTAATCGGATATAAAACACAAGGCGATAGCTGAGTGTCTCATATCTGATAAAACACTGACTGCAAGGGTTTTAATTGGCTTAAAATATAACCCATATCATATGAGTTAATTGGCGCACAGTTAATATTAACTGTGATTGGCGAAGTAATTTTAAAAATCAAGGTGTTTAAGCAGAGAAAATATATCACTTTATCACATATAAAACCCAGTCGTGGCACCAGGAATTTCCCGACGAAGGGGCTATGGTGCCGGAAAGGTCCCTGAAGCTAAGTTCCTACAAACGATTTTGCCGACAACCATTAATTAATATTTCTTTTCACAAAATTGTTGTGAATTTTTTTTCCGGACATTACATATTCTTTTATGTTAACGTGAATTATTCGTTACATTTCTCCTTTATGTTTTGAATTGGTAAATTTTTCCCATTTTTACTTATAATTCTTACTATTTAATTAATCATTGCCCCTCATCTATTTTAGTTTTCACCTTCCTATCCAAGCGTCGGTTTAATTAACACCACAGCAAAACACACTGATTACAAAACATTGTCTCTTTCCCGACAAAATTCTAATTTTTCCCCGACGGGGGGGAGGGGGCTGTAGCCTCCTCTGGCCACACCGCTGATAAAACCACAGACACGGTAGTGATTTCCTTTGTTTTTATGGCATGAATTAGTAATGACAAATCGTACTTATGAATTCCTTTTTATACCGTATTTGAATAGTAATAAGTACTGTTTTTGAAAGACGTGCCATACAAATACTGACATAGCAGCGCTATTGCCTGTTTTTGATATTCCATCATAATTTCGTGTTTATGAACACGAATTACAACCGTAATCTTTAAGGCGGATTTCCAGTCCTCGCACGAAGCTCCTCGCAGCTCGCTGCGTGCTACTCGCGCGAATGTCATTCCGTTTCCACCACGCGCCAATCTCGTAGCTCATGGCATGCCCGTTCGCAGGCTAGGTAGTGGCAGGAAGAGTTCAAAATGGCGCTTAGCAAAAAGCAATTATTGCCTTTGTACGTTGTTATAGCGAAGTCGACGAAAAAGACGTACCAAATACTTAAAACGGTTTTGGGTAAAAACCATTATTTCAAACGAGAGCACAATTAAGTGAATTGTTTACACTAGTTAAAGAATTACGGGAGGAAGACCACGCAGGCTGATTCAATTATTTCAGAATGTTACCAAACCAATTTGATTATTTACACAATTTGGTAAAGCTACTAATTCAGAAGTCCAATGAAAACTATTAAAATTTCTATATTTTCATCACATCTAGCCGCCATTTTGAAAACAAATTATTATGTGACTGTAAGCCGTTTGATATAATCTCTATAGGATTAAGATCCACGTTTCTCAATCCGAAATTAAACAGTAGAACTCTCAATATTCATGCGAGTAAATTTTTATTTGATTGTTGACTTTGCGCCCCCCTCCCCTCCCCCCTCCCCATGTCGCACAACGCCAAACTAGCAATACAGGCTGTACATAAAATAAAGTGCACAGTTTTAAAATGTCCAATATTTGTCCCGAACAACTTTATGTTAATTAACTACTATGGCAAAATTTTCCAAGTTTAAGGGTCGTGCATTGGACTTACGCCCGTATTCTAAAAGCTCACTCACACTCGATCATACTCAATGAGTGGAGATTCAATCTGAGCTTCTCTTGAGTGTCAATGCTGTTTTTGAATAGCTGGAGGGTTAGTGTCGTACCTTACTATGTGACAACTCGCCCTCCAGCTATTCAAAAACAGCATTGACACTCCAGAGAAGCTCAGATTGAACCTGAACTCATTGAATGTGAGTGAGCTATTAGAACACGGGTGTCAGTGTTCATCAAATTGTCTGGTACTTTGATTTATTAGTTCATAAAACACCTTCCAACTTTGCACGCTTTTGAAAAACAGCCCGGCTATACTCGCAAATTTACTTTTCAGAATAATTTGCTGATAGAGATACCAGAACACCCCAAACTATCATATAGTTGTCACAAATTTTGCGGAAGTTTGAGTACGTTTAGTGGACATTTTAGAACTGTGCATATTTTTGATAACCCTGTATAGCTCTGCAATGTGAATTAACTAAAAAGCTATTTCTGCATGTACCTCCAAAATCGATGGAAATAATATTTGAACCAATTTGTCCGTCCATTATTATTCACTTTCTTGCTCATATTTGTGTACATCACAAGAAGACCACTACAGCAAAAAGTGAATTAAACATCTCATACAGCAGGTAAATTCATTTTATATACTTCTTGTAACGCGCAGCAGAAGTGTTATGACAAAATTATGTCAGTTAAAGTATGCATGGTACTAAGTTGTTCTTCAAGAATCAGTATACGTTTCAATCCTTATTTCTTGTTCTATAATTGTATTAATCGCATTCAATATCACGGCCAACTGATTTCGATTACTACTTGTATTAAAAGGGGTAGGCTTTTTAAGAAAAAAGTTTAGATTTTAATGCCTTCACACGAAACCTCAAGTTTGTGTTAAAGAAAACGTGTAGCTCCTGCTGGTACTGTTTTCGCCATATAATTTTACCTGTACTACATCTGATCTGCTCATATTACTCATAACAAAATTTACGATATAATACCTCAAAACAAAAAATGTGTCCACTCCATAAGCTGTATTTAGAACAATTGACGCCAACTTTCTATTAAATCGGATCGCATCTTTTAGATTATCTATTAAAAAATCACAAATCAATATGCGTTTATTTATTTTAGCTACATAAAAGAAAGGATAAATCCTATTAAAAATTTAAGGAAGCCTATATGCAAACTTTATTTTTCCAGTATGGCCTAGATCCTCTGCATGTTCCTTCTAAACGGACTTGCATTATATCAAAAGAAACAAAATTAATCGACATTGTGACGAGTTTATTTGATTAATTTAACAAGTATCTCAATAAAGCCGGTTTTCCACTTGCGAATTTTTTCGCGAGAAGCAAATTTTTCTTTTGTCTTTATCCAATTACTTCCAGATAGTTCCAGTTGATCGACAGACCAGATACAAATGAAAAATTCACTTCGCACGAAAAGTCGCTCCCCCCCCCCCCAGTCGTGTGCTATAGGGGAAAAAGCGTATAGCTAAAATTTTGAATAATTTACGAAAACATGACGGAAAAAATGAAACATTAAAATAGAAAGGAACAACGTTACGTTATAACCTCGTATAATATGAGATAACGTTAACCTCAAATAATATTTTTTTACGATGAGACCCCCCCCCATTTTTCGCTTTTTATCTAACCTTTGCATGGATTCGTTTTATTCAGGAGTGTGATGAGTTTTCTTTCCATCTCGGGACATATATATACAAAGTGTAAAGGCCCATACAGACCGGATACGATTTGGCAACGCGACGCGAATTTTCAGTTTTCAATGACATTTAACTTTAATATTTTTCAATGTTTTTCAAATATTCCGAACCACTTAAGTAATTTTAGCAATTTGGACCGCATATCATAATTTTAGCAATTTGTTTTTGAAAACTGAAAATGCGCGTCGCGTTGCCGAATCTGTGTGGGCCTTAACAACGCTAACATTCAACGTCATTCAGACTTTAAAATATCGATCGGACGTCACGGACATGCATTGTCTGACCCATTCGTGAAATTGTCCGACGTAGAGACTGCACGCTTGTGCTAACAACAAATGGCATGTCTTTGTTTCTATATACGGTTTGCGATTGTTTATGAATATTATGTGATAGGCTACGACGAGTATTACTCCTCTGCGCATTGAGAAACTAAGCCAGCGTGTTAAATTTAGTCAAACTTAACGCTTATAATTAATCGTTATAACAGTCGTTGACATTCTTGAGAAGCTTTATAGACTATTGAGTACTAGACTATTAGTATCATGATAAACCTACTAGTAGGTTATCATGTATCGTGCGTTTTGATTGGGTACGCTACTAGTAGGCTATTATAGTGATAGCCTACTAGTAGCAACAAGCGGCGAAGGGCGCGAGTGTCAATGGTCGTTTTTAAGTATGAAAAGCTTATCAAAATGGCCTAATTTTTGTCCTGGATTGCACACAAACAAAGACTCTTGCAAACTGCTGACACATGAGGTAAAATTTTAAAGTTTTCTCAACTTTGCCCGTTGTTTTGAACATGAAAGTGACAAGCCATTTTTTAAAATATATGCGCGCACGTCAATGTTTGTTAATATTCCAAACAGAATCGTTGAAATTCAACAATACTTATTTCCTATTTTCTCAACCTCTTTAGTGTGTGTTTGTTTTAAGTACGAGTTAATTCGTGTATTTTATATAGCAATAATTTTTTAGAGTTTTTTTCGTTTACTTGTTGAGATTTTGGCCAAGTTTGTTTTTCGCCTTTTCGAACCTTTTTAATCGAGTTTTTCGATTAAATTTTAATTAATCTGAACTATATTGTCTATGTAAACTAGATGATGGAAATGGTTTGCCTCTTTATGTTTCAGATTAAAGATTTCAACGACATTCGGATTCTTTTGTGTGTACATTTTTATTCGGCTTTTTAACGTAGGCCTAAACTTTTACATTTAGTAACAATTGATGATTCCCCTTATTACGTTTTCGTAGCGCTTTGCATTGTGGCATGGCTAGAAATTCCATACACTCAGCGGCATCGGATTACAGGCTCATTTGCAGGAATTTTCAAGATGGCGGTTCGCTTTTATCAAATAAATTAAATAATTTAAGTACGGCCGGTTTTCACACAAAATCAACCAAGAAGGCCGTAAAATATCCAGGTGATCTCGTGTTCGTATTTTAGCCAATCAGCGCTCAGAAAGGGTTGTCCGAATAGAAATCCATTTTGATGTATTCAGTCAATTATATCTTTCGTTATTCTTTATGAAACTAGTTGAAATTTTGTAATTATGTTTGGTTACGAGAACTCTAACTCTGACAAAAATATGGAATCGAAATAAAGTATATTACAGGAGATATTCAGTTGTTTTAATCATAAAATGGATTTCTATTTGACAACTAGTGCCAGTACTTTTCCGCGTATCAAGATCATCTGGATTATGAAGTAGAAAGAGTGATTGCTTCAGTAAAAAAAGGTCAACTGTAATATATATTAATTTCGCTTGTTTTCTTCAAATATTCAAAATCGCGATATATGCATGTATATATTTAAAAATATGTCAATTGTTCCGATATTTTATGCAAATATTTAAAACATACAGATATAGATTCTCAATGAAATAACAAGGGGATTGTTCAATATGTCAACAAACTAATTTGTGATTTCCAACAACACATTTCGCAACAACACAGAGTGAATAATCTAATTTGAATTTTTCCCGCGACTTTGAGCGAATATTTTTGTAACTACAGTTTCTTATAGGTCAGCAGTAAAAGCCATGGTAACATAGCAACAGCTTTCGAGAGCTTTCGAGCAAAAACAATGGCGGAAAGATCATGAAACGAATACGAAAATGACAATTAGGCAGGCTATATTTTGAAATTTTGCCTATCATGACCTCTAAAATAGCAGTTCTATGATGCTAAAAAACAACGTATTTCAAGACATTAGGGAACCCACTAAACGGGACTAAAATGGCTTTTAATCAAGCGTGAATAAGAGTATCGTTATTCGGGAGTATATTCTGCTGTTCGCATGGTTGAAAAATTTTACAAGTATGGCCGTAATTTCAGCTCCATGCGAATACAAAATATGCTCAATTAGTGGACTTCATTTATACAGTGAATAACAGGTATGTTGACGAGGAGCTCGGGAACCCATTCAGCCTGATCGAATTGTTCCGATAATTTAACAAATAATATATTGTGCATGTGATTTGGTAATGTTTCAGATGTTCCTATGTTGGAATTTACAATCGTAAATTGCCAAAATTCTTAATTAATTTTGTGCATTTTACGCGGTGGCTCCCTACAGTTTTGATTGTAAAGCACACAATTGTATTAAAAAACCCATTATTTTCTCATCTTGCAAAGTATAATCACGAAACTCGGCCACATAACTGCTACAATATCGCGAATTACGAAAAATAAAAAATATCGTTAAAAATCCCCGTTGCCATGCTAACAAAGCGATTTTAAAAAGGGCCAATTTGCAGATTCTTTGATAATTTTTTGAAAATTTCTTCGGTAAAACTTTTTAATTTTTTGCACACAGTAATGTTATCTATAATTCCTTCAAATGATAGCATTTAAAAAAAAATCGTACGAGAATTTTTTTTAATCCTCAAAAAGCCCTCATTTGGAATTAAAAAAGTTCGGCTCGTACGATTTTCTTAGAACTTGAACATTAACGCACTTCAAGATTATGTATCGATCAATTCGAAACTTCACCATCCCCCTCCCCCCCGGGCATACCCTGGGAATTTGACTTCAAGTCTTCTCCAGGGAGTAGGGAATTTGACGTTCTAGGTCTTCCATGTGGTGGGGCATTTAATAACGGGGTGGGGAATTTGAACCGGAAGTCTTAAAATTTTGCCCGTTTTCGCGTGCTTCCTGCATGCACAGAAAATACTTCGCATTGGCGGCAAATACAGTTTTCTCAAATTTCGAGGGAAACGGCCTCAATTTTGTGAAAAACTGGCTGAAAGAAACAGGCATGGAAAATATATGTGCTTCGTTTGAAGGTATGTAGTACATAATTGTGTAAAACTGTTAAATTTAACACCTCAAGTTATCCAAACTTTTTACGTGAATTTCGCTATCTTGTCGAAAAACATTTCCGTATATTTTGTACTTTTTGTATAGTTACTGTTTCATAATTTTCATATGAATGTGGGGCATTTGAACGCTTAATTTCTTGTTACAGTGGGGCATTTGAAGACATTTTTTGCACAGGGGGTGGAGAATTTGATCAGTCAAATTTTAAAAACTTCAAATTCCCGGGGTCGGCCCGGGGGGGGGGGGATGGTGAAGTTTCGAATTGATCGATACATTACAGGAAAGTGTGTGAAGTTTTAAAAAATTTTACCGAAGGAAACACGAGAAAAATACATTTATCTTCATCTATGTGACGTCACAAAAATCAGGATTTCAATTTCCTCGCGCGACCAGCCGACAATCCCACAAATGTCTATGAAGCTCTAGATGAGGCGCGGGAAATTAGAGAACAAGTAACACAATTGGCTGCTGTGAAAGAAAGAGTAGCATTCATTCAATTGGGTTGGAAATTGAAAGTGATAGTGATAGTGCATGCTTGGCGGAAGATGAAGTCTCAGATGGCGAATGGATCAGTAATTCTGAGGAAAGTGACTCATCTGACATCGGACATGATACAGAAAACGTTGTGTCAGCTACTGGTACAGTGAGCCGTGATGCCAATTTGGAGAAAACGGAACCTCGGAGAAAGGTGGTTGAAACAACTTCCAATACCACAAAGACTCTAGAGTCCCTTTCTGCATTAAATGAACTACCACCTGTTCATATTTATGCACCAGATCATTCAACGCTCTTAGTTATGTTAAGAGAAAATAAATTGAACTGGTTTGCCTTTGTTCATGATTTAAAGACCTATATGAAAGAACATGAGAATGAAGTAGTTAACGAAGTTTTGGCCAGCTTTGTTCAGCAGTTGTTATTTATGGATTTAGATGACAATGAATTACGATTAATAGAGCAATCGCGACAGGCTTTTCTGCACAGTGAAAAAGTTTCTATGATGGAGAGGACAGGTTTAACAGACTCGGAAAGTGACGATCCTGAAGAATGGACAGAAGTAAAAAACTTGAGATCTAAAGAATGTCGAGAAATGATAAAAAAGCAAAGAGCAATAATCAAAAGAATGGCAAAACGAAAAGCTGCTAAGGTGATTGCCAGTAGATGTCTACTAAAGAGGAAAGTCCCAGCACGAGTTTCTAAAATTGTAAAGCAGTTTCCTAACATAGGGAAGGACATTGAAACATTTGTCAGAAGCAAGCGATTTGGTGCTGATGCGTGGAGGCGCACAGGTTTAACAACCTTCGATGGGAATAGGAAAACTGGTCCAAAGGCATCTTTCCGTTCTATAAAAAGGTATCTTGAAGAGAAGTACAACAGAAAGATTGGGTATGGTACAGTCGTCCAGCTGTGCGTGGTCCGAAATAAACGACGTATTTCTGCGAAGAGGTACAAAGGTATCGCGAAAGTTACATGCCGAAGAGCCAGGAAAGGATTCCAGCTGAAGTTAAATGTCGATGCACATTACAGTTGTGCAATGTACAAAGGACTTGATTACATCCAGCTAAAAGATGGTCGTGACAAGATAATCCTAAATCGTGACGACCAAGCAGGGTTTCGGTTGGATACAACATATACCCATCGGCAATATAAATCGCTTTCTACGGACTCCCAGGAGGTGACAACACACACCGATTATGTTAATAAATACTCGTCGGTATTGCAAACATCATCTTACCTGTTTATGGCAACAGATACGACTATTGAACAATGCGCTGGGGTTGTTAAGCCTCACATTGCGTTTGAGAAAAACCCTTCCCAACACGCTGCAGATTTTAGAATGGTAAAAACAACTGCTGACTTTGAATTTCTTAAGTCAAAAGAGAAACCTGTTGATTGCATTCGTGTGGATGGAGCAACAGATGAACGTCCATCAGTAAAAGAAGTTCAGTTTCTCTGGACAGAAGTTCATTTAACTGAAGGGAAAGTTTATACAAGTGTTACATGCAGATACAGTGGAGGTAGCTTCCTCAACAGAGTTGAGCTGATGAACGGTTGTTTGGCACACGCTCATAGCAATCTGTTTATCCCTTCTACACTTTCTGGTTTCAATCTTTCCGAAAACGGTTTGGATGATGGGAAATTGTTGGAAAACTTGAATTTGGCAAGTGACGTTTATATTGACCGTGTTAATGGCGCACCGTGTGGTGAAACAACAATCAAATTGTTCAAAGGATCAAAAGATAAACATGCCGAATACTTAAAAAACAGAAGGCCAAATCTTCTTATTTTCCTGCATGGTTCAAAAAAGGCAAGAACAGAGTTAAAAAAAGAGAACAGCACACAGTTTGAGTACTTCAATGAGATTTGGGATCTAAGAAACAGTCACATGATTAAAGATCTTCCAGACCAATATGCATTTGTGCTCCTATCTTGCTATAAATCGAACTGTATCCATCCAGTGTGTCGACAGGGAAGGCCCATAGCACCTTTAACTTGGTTTACCAATGGTCCTCTACTGACGTATTTCCCCCATCCTACTCCGGATCCAACAAAACCATGGGGTGGCACATGTTCTAAGTGTAAATCGTTTTGTTCTGGACACTTTATGTCGCCAGAAGAAAATATCAAGCATGTGCTGGCGAAAGGCACAAAAGATTGTATGAAAGAACCGCCGACAGTGACCGTAAAGAAATACTACGAACAGAGAATAAAGGACAATCTGCAAGTCTTTGACGAACACAGCATCATTGATCTGGCTAAGAGAACACTTCTTCCAGTACCAGATGTCCAAATGCGGTTACAGCACCTTTCTGATGTATCCGATAGACGCAAGGCTGGGGCTGTGAAAGCTGCAGCTACACGAAAAGCTAAACGTAGGTCAATGGTTATTATACTAGCAGGCCATACTAAAATTAGAAATATTTGTTTGTTTTTATGAATATTAAAACTTACTGACTGTATTTTCGAAATTTGTGTTTAGGGGAGAGTCAACAAAAGCAGGACCCGTTTTGCTTATGCGGCAACGATGATAATGATGAAATGGTAATGTGCGAAAACAAAAAATGCAAGTATCAGTGGTTTCATTATCAATGCGTAGTTATGACGGAAGACACTGTCCCAGATGGCGAGTGGTTTTGTCCTAGTTGCGAAGGTATTAGAATATACATCCAATGTTGATCAGACCAAGTCAGCAACAGGTTTAGTTAAGCCAAACTGGTGAAAACTGAGTACTTACTATTCGTTTGTGCAGACTGTACAGTAAAACTTGCCACTAAAACATATTGGTTGTTTTAACATTGATAATTTCCTTTTCTTTAATTTATAGGTAAATCGACACGAAAACCAACAAAGAAGAAAAGACAGAAACGAAAAACATAGTGTATTCAATATTTGGTCCTTTGTTATGTTAATATGCAGTATTAAATTAAAACATGTTTAACAAAAAACTTCAGTGTGCTTCAGAGTTCTTCCCATTAGCTTCAGTGTGTTTCAAGAGTTCTGAACAGCATGAGCGGGGGATTTTCCTTGCAAAAGGTCCGGGGGCGAGGTATGCCACACTTTTCGCCAGTTTCTTAATCCAAGTCCCCGGTAATCCCCGGCCTGGGGTAGGTGGGGATTTACTTTGTCTGGTGCATAATTAAAATCAATTAAAATTTACAAATTGAGCTTTTTGAATATAGACCATTGCAAATTTTTTTAAAATTTGTTTAACCCTTTATAGTGGCAATGTCCCTACTTTAGTATATTACTCCGTCTGGTGCCAGACAATTTTACTCAAAGGCAGAATGTAGACTTGCCACAAGTCGACCTTGAACGAAACGTCGGCTCACACTCGCTGCTTGCGTTTTGTTCGAGGTCGACTTGTGGCAAGTCTAGGCAAAATGCTGCCACTCAATGAGTTAATATATTCTCAGAACAATTACCATCAAATTTAATCTATTTTGCTGGCAAAATTGCCTTGGAGGGGGTCCTTGATTTGTTGAGTCTTTTTTTTTGGGGGGGGGAGGGGGGGAGTGTTGTAAAAAACAGAATAGCAACTGGTTTCAGAATAGGAAGAATTGTTGTAATATAGGTAATATAATTCTAAGACAAATCATCCAAAGGAAGCAATCATTCTAGCTCTTGTAGTGTATGTTGCAACATTTGAGTAATAACATGATGATAAGCAAGCTGTGAACAACAATTCAAATACAGTAGTAAAGCAAGACTTTGCAGTAGTGAAGCAAGTTGATGGGCGGGCGGCACACATGACCGACACAACTCGGCACCAGAGCTGGCAGACCTACCAGATCATGCTGGATCCATCCCTGTGTTGCAAAATGTATATTCTTCATAGTCAGGCATTCACATGAATGAAGATTAGAATTGCATCATGTTATGTATCGATCAATTCGAAACTTCACCATCACCCCCCCCCCCGGGCTGACCCCGGGAATTTGAACTTTTTGAAATTTGACTGATCAAATTCTCCACCCCCTGTGCAAAAAATGTCTTCAAATGCCCCACTGTAATAAGAAATTAAGCGTTCAAATGCCCCACCTTCATATGAAAATTATGAAACAGTAAACACGAAAAGTACAAAATATACGGAAATGTTTTTCGACAAGATAGCGAAATTCACATAAAAAGTTTGGATACTTTGTGGAAATTTAACAGTTGTACACAATTATGTAGCACATATCTTCAAACGAAGCACATAGATTTTCCATGCCCGTTTCTTTGAGCCAGTTTTTCCCAAAATTGAGGCCGTTTCCCTTGAAATCTGAGAAAACTGTATTTGCCGCCAATGCAAAGTATTTTCTGTGCATGCAGGAAGCACGCGAAAACAGGCAAAATTTTAAGACTTCCGGTTCAAATTCCCCAGCCTGTTATCAAATGCCCCACCACATGGAAGACCTAGAACGTCAAATTCCCTACTCCCTGGAGAAGACTTGAAGTCAAATTCCCGGGGTATGCCCGGGGGGGGATGGTGAAGTTTCGAATTGATCGATACATGTTATATAGTCTTAAATATTTAGGAGGGGTCTCCATTAGTAAGAGATTAAAAAGGGGTCCCATGACATTTTGACATAAGAATCTCCCACCCCACCCTAGGGTATAATGAATGGTCACTTAAAGTACATGCCATCTTCTAACTGGTTGGGCACCTTGCTCCTTTTGTGATGGAAAATCTATTCCCTACCTTTATCCCCTGGGACAAAAAATTCAAATCAACTCTCCACCCTGATAATGTACAGATGATAACAGCAAGAATTGAAGCAAGCAAGCTTTACTGGAGTACATACTATTATTAGGAAGCATCAATTCGCACATGCTAATTTGCCAGTCATGATTTTAAACATATCACTCATATGTCAGTTTTGCAGCTTGCCAGCTTCAACAACATTTGGCTGCAAGGAAAACGTAAACAAGCAAAGAGCATATAACACTTCATCTGTGTTTAAAATATCAGTGAATAAATATTCCAGCCATTGGCACTTTATAATATAAGTGACATTCAACAATAGATCAATAACATATACAGTATATGCAAAAACATTTCTTTGAATCACTATATAAAATATTCCTCATAAACTCGCTCCAATCGTCGCACAGCAGAGTCTTTGGAAGGGTAAAATCAAGTTTAACATCCCCAGTTCAAAACACTTTCCGTGTCCTCTTAGGCAAGCCTGTCCAGCTGGAGAACATCTGTCGTAATACTATTATATCTTGGCTCGGTTAATTCTGTTTAGCGAACGAACGATATTTACCAAACCCAGTTGGAAGAACAGCAACTACATAGTTCCCATGTAATAAAAGCTGAAGAATCTGATTTCGAGTACGTCGGTAGCAAAAAGAAGGAAACATTTCAAAGACTAAACGCATTTTTAAGCCGCTCTAAGCACTTAAATTTTGTGGACACTCTTAGGTTGGCGGCCATCTTGGATTTTCTAATCATTATTTAACAAATATAAAACATTTTCCGTGTTGATATACAGTTATATCAACACGAACTTCCACGAGTGTTGATATAACTATATATCAATACGGAAAAAATGTTTTATATATTTTTTATAATATAGCGATGTCAAAAGCCCGAAGGATAAGAAAAATTTCCGTGTTTAGAAGCGGCGGAAATTTTCCCGTGTTGACATTGAGTTATATCAACACGGCTCTTAGCCAATCAACGTTCAGAATTTACAAATGCTATATTATAATATAATTTATTACACCCACTATATCTGGGTGTTGAAAGTCATGTGACCGGCCGGTGCCAGGGCCTTTTCCCGCCTTCCCAATGACAAAAAGGGAAAAGCCCTGGGAACGAGGTTGACAAAACCTATCTAATTGACCATTTGCGTAATAGACCATCCTCGGTCCCAGGGCCTCACGGCTGACACTGCGTTGCCGGAGGCCCTGGCGAAAACCAAAACCGGAACTTCAAAAATCTTGTAGTTTGCCGGAAGTAAACGTAATAAAATGCTGACTCTGCATCTTTTTTGCAAGGAGTGAACTTTGAGAATTTCTCGAAAGAAATAATGTTTTATATGCAAGATAAACATTAATTTGATCTGGTTATTTTTCACCATTAAATGTTTTAATGGTTGACCAAATCAGTAAACTAAAGGATCATGTAAATGTTTCAATTATGAAGCTGTTCAAGTTGATGAATCGAAGGATACAATGTTGGTTTGGGAGAGTCATTGTATACGGAGAGCAAATCAATTGGAGAACATGAAAGTTTTTGAATTTTTATTATAATCGACGAAATATACAGACAATTTAAAAGCGATAGTTGTGGACGAAGCCCAATCTTGTTACTGAATGGTGAGTGAGTGATACTGATATATTTGGTTGTTTCTCAATATTCTTTCTTTGCTATATTAATGGTTATCTGCAAGACTGTACACATACAGACAACATATATTCTGTTTAATACGTCCGGTCTAAACGCTGCATTTTACATGTGCCAAGTCTAGAATGTGCCAAGTCTAGAAAAGTTTGTTCAACCTTTTAAGTGCTACCAAATTATTTTACTCAGCTTAACATGCCAGATGATTGAGTGTACTGGTCATAGTGGTCAATGTGAGAGTGCTACTGCTCAATGGGTTAAGGTGGCTCGATAGGAAAAAAAAATTTAAAAATTGAATTTTTTGAAAACAATATTTTTTGAAAGTTTAAGCACTAATCTTTCATATACAATTGGTTTTTTAAATAATATCAGGGTATTTTCAGTTGTTTGGGGGTTTTTATAAAATGCACCATCATATTTTGCACTCGTAACCATGGAAACCGCATCTGTTTTTTCAAAATAACCCTATGAAATGGCTTTGTATACTGGTTTTTATTGTTGTTTTGTAAAAAGTGCGCATCTTTACAAAGAGGACTGGTAAGTAGATACAATTACATTGCCTGGTTACCAAGTCAAAATTCAAATTGAAAGAGAAAGCTAGAAAACAAATTTGTTAGAATTGTATATTTCGTTAGAAATGCCTGATATAAGAAATTTATTCGATTGAAAGAAAAGAAACGAAAGTTTCACGGAAACCACCATGTCAAAGTCGAAGAATTACCTGATTGTGAAGCTTCTAAAGAGGAGAAAATTGCTGAAACAAGTACGTCAAATTTGACTACTGCTTCAGATGAAGTGACATCATCGAGCGCTTCAATTTAGGTCGTTGCCTGCCTCAAAAAGGATACTTGACTGTGATTTATCAAGTGTGGATGAAGAAAACTGTACTGATGGGTTTAGAATTATAGATATATCGATTTTGATGTCCATTTTCAACACCTTTATATGCCCTAAATGTAAGTCGGGTCACATTGTTATGAAGGAAGACATAACTGCAAAGATGGGACTTGTGACACAACTTTCGCTGGAATGTTCTGCCAAAATGTGTTCATATTCTGTGAATTTTTATACATCAAGTCGGGTGAATAATAAATCTAAAGCTTTTCAAGGAAATAGAAGGGCTGTGTGAGTGAGAAACATTGGAGTTGGTCACCAAGGGCTTGTGAAGTTTTGTGGTGCAGTGAACATGTTGGCACCTATGAATGCAAATTTATACACCAACCATGTGACAGCTATTCATGGAGCTGCTGAAGTTGTTGCCAAGGCAAGCATGAAAAGTGCAGCTGAGGAGACAAAGCAGTTTTATGAACTAGAAGAAGATGGTGTGTATGATATTGGTTATTGGTATTACTGCGGACGGGACCTGGAGACGAAGGGGATATTCATCTTCCTGCGGGGTCGTTACTGGCATGTCGTTGATTACTGGAAAAGTGCTAGACGTTGAAGTCATGTCAAAAGAATGCTGGGAGTGTATTACCTGGAGCAGCAAGAAAGGTTCAGAGGAATTTGAACATTGGTGGGAAGGTCATCAACATTGCTCAAACCGGGGTGTCAGACAAAGAAGTGTCGCATTAAAATAGACTATGACCGTATCTCCCATTCCACACGAAAGAGCTCCGACAAGCATAAAAATAAAAGAAAAAAGATAAGAAAGAGAAAAAAAGGCTATATTGACAACCTGTCAGAAGAGGAAGTTACCCAATATGAAGCTGGGGCATTTTGAGCCCTGAACCTGAACTGATTAGTTATACCAAACTTTGCGACTGATTTTCTCAATTTGTCATTTTCGGGGCGTTTTTGAATTAGTTTTTGCGATTTCTGAAAAACTATAAATGGTATTGACCTGAAATTTTCACTGAATATTCATGTGCCTATTAGTTATGCAAGGAACTAGGATTTTTGAATTTGGACTAACCAAACATAAGTTCTAGATATTTTGGTCAATGAACTTAGGATGTTTTGCTTTACCATTATTCGGGATGCAAAATTTTTATGAATGCATGGCCATATCTAGTTGATTCTAGTTCCTTGCATAGCCCAAGATGTGGTTATAATATCTTAAAAGTTTTAAAACCATACCTATTATATATTTGCCAATATCAAGTTTCTTGCGATGCCTTAATTTGCAATGACGGAAAAGTAGGCTGTAGTAGTAAGGGTGCTACACTAGTGCAATTCAATAAATATGCACCAAATTTTTTTTGGTTAATGTCCTAAGTGTGTTACTTCTGCCCCCCAAAAATAATATCATTCCATAAATTCTGTAGCAATGAAACAAGCTATCAAAAATGGTCGATTTTTCCTATCGAGCCACCTTAATCAGATTATCTATTGTACTTTACTATCTTACTGTCTAATGTCAGACAATTTTGCTCATCAAGGGGAGAGTGGGTATAATTGCAAAGTAATTACTTTGCCACTTTGGACAAATGTATAAGTTACATATATGTTTACTATGTACCGGTATGTACATATTAAATTCAACATTTACATCAAAATGTCAAACTTTATTATTTGAGTCAAACCATGTAAATTCACATTAGATTTGGCACATGTAAAATGTGGCATACAATGAGCATGAAAACCTGAAATATTATGTGCATCCCACCCACCCACCCTCGCCCCTCCCCCCACCTTGATCTTGGTATCCCCAGATAACGATTGTTTGTAGGATATACAACTACCTGTAAGGTATCATGTGTGACTGCATACTACAAGCTAGTATCATATTGTCCAGTTTAATACATATATATGACTTGAAATATGTATGTTCTTGCCAGCCATTTTCAATCATAAAATTATCCATGTTGCTGTTAAATTATGACTGGCCTAAAATTTTTGGCTAAAGATTGTTTCAACTTATAAACATTGTACTACTACTTTAGGAAGGATTTCAGGCCTTGCTATGAAAGGATTGGTATGTCGGGAAGTTTGTTTCTTCATCAACTCAGAGAAAGAAGTTGCATCAACTCAGAGAAAGAAAGAAATTTCATCAACTCAGAGAAAGAAAGAAATTACATGAACAAAATAAACAATTTTGTGTCATTGATATAAATAATGATTTATTCTTACAATTTCCTCTATGAAAATTTGGTGTGTTAATAAAGATACTGTAAAAAATAAATAACAGCTTTATGGTGCATCCATGCTGTGCTTTAATATTGCAGTGGTGTAGGAAATGGAGGTGTGTGTGGAGGCCGGACACTCCAGGAATTCCCCGACAAGGAATATCAAGTCCCCGACAAGGAATATCAGGTTCTCCAACAAGGAATATCAGGTTCCCAACAGGGGGCTATAATCTTTCAAACAGTAAAATTATTGTTTTGTATGTTCAACTTATGCTCACACATGAAAATGTTTAATTTTTTGGCTCTCATGAAATGGTGCAGAATTTATTGTCTGTAACAGTGCATTTACCAGCACTACAAAACAAGGTCATTACAAAACATAATTTTTCCCAGTACATTCCACTTCCCTGACTGGGGAGGGGCTAGAATTTCCACATAGGGGAGCTACAGCCCCCCCCATACCCGATCCTTGCACTGCCTCTGCCTTGCCCAATTTCTCTTCAAAAGTTTACAAATTATAAATTTGGTGCTGTTGACATGAAGTGCTCCTCAATTTTAAATTTCAAAACTTTCCTCCTGTGCCTATGGTGACTAATTAAACCTTGAAATCTAGCACTATAATTTATAAAAATATGTCAACTGCATGTAAGAGATTCAGAAGTTAGTTTCCCAGATGTTGACACATTACTTAGTACTGAATGTATGTATACAGAATAAAATTGGAAGGCTTATCACCAGTGTAGCAAAGATGCAGTATTACTATTAACAATATAATTTGTCAACTGTAAAAAAACATTGATAGCATATAAATTAAGCTATATATTGCATGAAATTTAAGGCAAAACAAGATGGAAGAACTAACATTTCCAGTTATTATATTAATCACTTTGTCATTATTAAATAGTATTAAAATACAATATGTCATGAAATACATTTAATATAAAATACAATATTTTTACATAAATTAAGAGCCTTTGATGAAATTGATATAAAATCAATAAAGTATGTCTATTAAATATAGTATATTATAAAATAATTTATATTTTATAATACACTATATTTAATATAATATTATGTATGGCATGGACCCCTCTTGCATTGAACAACCACACAGACACTTAGGGCCTGCGAAACAACGAAAGACTTTAAACATATTTTAAAACAGAGACTTGTAGAAACATTTAAATTTAGGACCAATCTTAAGACATTTTGATGTAAATAGCATATATATTTGTGTAGTACTACCAAGTGTGTGTGTGTGTGTGTGTGTGTTGTGTGACTGTGTGTTGTTATGTGTGTCTCTCTATTATTACAGTGTATAAAAATTTAGATCAATTATGTAAAATTTCGCTGAAAAGCCTTTTAAGGGATGTGAAATTAAAATACAATAACAATAACAATAACACTCATTCACGATCAGGATTTTCTAATTTGTATTAACTGAAAGATGCAAGACATCACTCACAATTTTTGTAGATTTGTAAATTAACGGTACAGTCTTTCTCGCATAGCCTTTCGCCAGTCTTTGTTTATACTCTGTATATAATTAAATCTCGTATATAAAACTATAAAATGTCCCTTCGGCTTCGGCGATTTCAATCTTTAAATAATCCAATGTGCAATTTTTTGCAGCTTTTTAATACATTGTGACACAACATCCAACATTTTTTATATTAAAAATAAAATTTCCATTGATAGACAACAGATTTCAAGGACGAAAACGACTCTTGGTCTTCTTTGTCAATCTTTGAATCTTGAGTTAATACACTCCTATCTACTCCTATAGTCAGCCATATTTATTAGTAAAAGTTCGTATTCAATTTCCGCATTCCATTGTTTTCATGCGACCAATCAAATCACTTCTCGTTTTGGTTTTCGCCAGGGCCTCCGGCAACGCAGTGTCAGCCGTGAGGCCCTGGGACCGAGGATGGTAATAGACTAAATTTTGATCTCAACAAAAATTTGAAAGAGCATCACAAAATTAGTAATATTCCAAAGTTTCGTTGCAAAATGTTGTAAAATGCGGAAAATATAGCCTTGCGAAATTTGCAATTTTCAGTCATTTCAGATTACAAACCGGAAATTGACAGCCTCGAAGGGTTTGGGGCTGTCAATTTCCCGTTTGTAATCTAAAATGACTGAAAATTGCAAATTTCGCAAGGCTATATTTTCCGAATTTTACAACATTTTGCAACGAAACTTTGGAATATTACTAATTTTGCGATGCTTCTTCAAGCTGTAATGAAATTTTTGTCTAGACTTGTTTAGTTCAAAATTTAGTCTATTACGCAAATGGTCAATTCTAAACTGTGGGATTCCCGTCCATCTGGTGGACGGGAAATCTGATTGGTCGATCAGCATCATGAAGGATTTTGATTGGTTGCAAGTTTACATAAACAACAGTTTTAAAAATAGCTCGGTCAAGGCGACAATTAATAAATATATAAAGGTCAAACGCACGTAACAAATTCCATTATCGATTCCTTCGAACTTCTTTTCTTTTATGCTTTATGGCAGAAAATAAATCAAACAAACAGTATTTTGAAAGGGTTTTATCAAAATCTTGGACGAATTTTGGACACACGACGCTGAAAGAACAGCCAAACTAGTCATGTATTCGAAAGCTTGTTGTTGACAGCCAAGATGTTCTGCCCAACTGGCTTCGCCGGCAAAAGTATTATTTTTAATATCAGGTCCTTTCGGCGTTGTTTTCTCAGCTACATCGCCTTCTTCCTGGTACGATTGAGAAATTCATTGTTGCTGTTGTTAGCCCGTTAGAGAATATCCGCGTCCAGCAAGTTGAGACCTTGAGAAAGCTTGTCAGTCAAGCCGTGCACAGAACTGACTAATTAAATCTTTGTTTGCTGTTCGGTTAAATAGAGAAACTGACTCTTATATATAAAAGTACCTTGAATTGCAAAATGCACACTCTGCGGATATGTTCTAGCCTCCTCCGCAGGCATCTCACCCGACGAATCGGGTGGTGGGAAAAAGTTTGGTGAGATGCCTGCCATAAATCGACACAAAAATTTGCACTGCGCATACCGGCTCGCGCATGCAAATTTCGACAAACTCAAACTTAGGGGGAGTAGGAAGGGCTTACGGCAAGGAGTGAAGAAAATTTTGTTTTCAACACGATGGCTTACAAGACGAGTAAAACTGTAAAATTAACGAATAATCCTGGTCTTCAACATTGCAAATACAAAGGGAACTTTGACTAAGGAGCTGAGAACGTTATCGAGAGCCGACGCAGCGATTTACTGGGATTGTTTAGAGACAACGAGTGACTTTGCAGAGCAGTGAATTCACGTTGTCGTCGATTCATGTCAAGACATTTATCAAGACAAGGTTTCAATTGAAAGTTTATCGTTGATAT